ATGTTAATGAAAATTTGAGAACCACGGTAAAGGCCCCAAGGGTTAGTGCAGGTTTATCCTGGAGGTATAGAGGATGAACGTCCCACGACGTCGGGGTACAATATATGATATGCAATCAACCAAGTCACAGAAAACTGATTAAATGAACATTCTGGAATGGCTTATAGATAGCCTAGATTATGTGGATATCATCATAGTACCAGTTGCCACTGTCCGACTGAGTTATCACTAATCTTGTGACGCAATATATTAATACGCACATTCCCACATTGGAATACTTGCAATGTTGGAGATTTTACAGCCGCTTTTTTGTTTCTCCTGCTAATAGCCACCACAGCTTTGTTTATTGTTTAACGCAACAGTCTGTAAATAATCGTGTCTGGGTCAGACAGAACATGACTTCATATTAGGAGCGACGACGTAGATTGAGGACAGGCGGGCAAATCAAGGCACTGAACCTGACCATCCGATCCATTTTTTCGCTTCATGCGACAAGCACATGTTTGTGGGGAGCCATTGACACGCGTGACATGACCATGACAACATTCACACGCTCATTCAGTATTTAATTATTTTTCAACATTGTTCGGATATTGTTTTCATCTTTGTCTCGAATCCTTTGTCTCAAAACCTTCTTTTGGAAACAATTTCAGCCACTCTACTTCGTACACCTAGCTAATCCATAGGCATACATGCCTGTTATAAAAAACGGAAAGATAGTTAACAGCTCAAAGGGCGCAAGATCCTGCTTTCTATCAAGATCACTTATAAACACTCACACACACACACACACACACCAAAAGATGGCCAACTAAGATAGGGACGTAATTCGTCTTACAGAGTTGTAGGCAGTAGGTACATGATTGGTACATGTTCAGGTAGACGAGCAGTGGGTACATGTTTAGGTAGACGAGTTCGTCACGATATGGCTGAAATATTGCCGATGTGACGTTAAACTTTAACTCACTCACTCACTCAGGTAGACGAGTAGTGGGTAGATGTTCAGGTAGACGAGTAGTGGGTACATGTTCAGGTAGACGAGTAGTGGGTTCATGTTTGGTACATGTTCAGGTAGACAAGTGGTGGGTTCATGTTCAGGTAAACGAGTAGTGGGAACATGTTTAGGTAGACGATTAGTGGGTACATGTTCGGGTAGACGAGTAGTTGGTACAGGTTCAAGTAGACGAGTAGCGGGTACATGTTCGGGTAGACGAATAGTGGGAACATGTTCAGGAAGACGAGTAGTGGGTACATGTTCGGGTAGACGAGGAGTGGGTTTCATGTACTGGTACATGTTCAGGTAGACGAGTAGTGGGTACATGTTCAGGTAGACGAGTGATGGGTTCATGTTCAGGTAGACGAGTAGTGGGTACATGTTCAGGTTGCCGAGTAGTGGGTACATGTTCAGGTAGACGAGTGGTGGGTTCATGTTCAGGTAGACGAATAGTGGGAACATGTTCAGGTAGACGAGTAGTGGGTTCATGTTCAGGTAGACGAATAGTGGGTACATGTTCAGGTAGACGAGTAGTGGGTACATGTTCAGGTTGCCGAGTAGTAGGTACATGTTTAGGTAGACGAGTAGTGGGTACATGTTCAGGTAGACGAGTAGTGGGTACATGTTCGGGTAGACGAGTAGTGGGTACATGTTCAGGTTGACGAGTAGTGGGAACATGTTTAGGTAGACGAGTAGTGGGTACATGTTCAGGTTGACGAGTAGTAGGTACATGTTTAGGTAGACGAGTAGTCGGTACATGTTCGGGTAGACGAGTAGTGGGTACATGTTCAGGTAGATGAGTAGTGGGTACATGTTCGGGTAGACGAGTAGTGGGTACATGTTCAGGTTGATGAGTAGTGGGTACATGTTTAGGTAGACGAGTAGTGGGTACATGTTCAGGTTGCCGAGTAGTAGGTACATGTTCAGGTAGACGGGTAGTGGGTACATGTTTAGGTAGACGAGTAGTGGGTACATGTTTAGGTAGACGAGTAGTCGGTACATGTTCAGGTTGACGAGTAGTAGGTACATGTTCAGGTAGACGAGTAGTGGGTACATGTTTAGGTAGACGAGTAGTGGGTACATGTTCAGGTAGACGAGTAGTAGGTACATGTTCAGGTAGACGAGTAGCGGGTACATGTTCAGGTAGACGAGTAGCGGGTACATGTTCAGGTTGACGAGTAGTAGGTACATGTTCAGGTAGACGAGTAGTGGGTACATGTTCAGGTAGACGAGTAGTCGGTACATGTTCAGGTAGACGAGTAGTGGGTACATGTTCAGGTAGACGAGTAGTAGGTACATGTTCAGGTAGACGAGTAGTGGGTACATGTTCAGGTAGACGAGTAGTCGGTACATGTTCAGGTAGACGAGTAGTGGGTACATGTTTAGGTAGACGAGTAGTCGGTACATGTTTAGGTAGACGAGTAGTGGGTACATGTTCAGGTAGACGAGTGATTGACATCATGAACATCGATCTGCGCAATTGGAATACGAGGACATGCATCAACTAAGTCATCGAGCCTCACCACCTGATCCCGTTACTCGCCTCTTACGACAAGCATAGTCGCCTCTCATGACAAGCATGGGTTGCTGAAGACCTATTCTACCCCGGACCTTCACACGTCTAGCTAATTATTATATTATCCATGCTGATCTTCGAGTTCACCTGAACTTTGTGTCTTTTCTAATATGTTAATAATCTGATGTACAGATCTAAACCAACTATTATCCACATTTATTTATTTGAGGTGAAGTAAGGTAAGTTTAGAGCCAGACATGTCTGAGCTAAACAACATCCCCACCGACACCGGAATCTTATCATATGGGTACTAGTATATTGATTAAAGAGCTAACTCAACAACTATCATGGTATCGATGTTACAACTACAGAAAGAAACAAACCATTTAGTCCATGAGCCAGACCTCAAAATTTCAGGTTTGAGTATCAAAAAGCTGAACAGATCCGATGTGGATTTTCAGTTAGCATGATGTCTTAAGTGTCCAAAAAGCCCACCCGGACATTCAGGATCAGTAGCTTAATACACTTTTGGCGGCCATCTTTAAAATGGACCAACTGAACCAACTGAAGGGCATGGCTGGCATCTGAGTGACGGAGACATTGCAATATCGTTGTTAACTGGAGCACCGGCTCCTGAGATGGTTCTCTCCCTGATGGCTTGCAAGTGTCCACGTGTTTGTGCTGAAGACAGTTGCACCTGTATCCAAAATGGATTACCCTGCACCCAAGCATGCAAACTGCAGAACTGTGCCAACATGACAGCGGAAGATGACACCGACCCAGTCCAAGAGAGTGACGATAGTGACATCGATAGTGATGAAGACTAATGCGGACTTATGTTTTGAACCACAAGTCACCTGGAATAGCATTTTTCTTTCAGTCGATTGATTATTAGAAACAGACTATAATTCCAATTCACAAAACCCTACCCAAGTAGCAGCAGAGCCCATTTTCGATAGAGAGGCTAATTTGTGCATAACGGCTTTTTTGGGTATGGTTTAGCTGATTTCCTCTGATTCGTGGTGATAACCCACTCCAGAAAGCGCCAAATGCAATAAATTATTACCAAAATTTTATTGCCTGCACTTATACTTAAGGGTCAAATAACTGCCCCAAACATTTTATCCACACCTGGAGAGCTGCCCAAGGTGATCTAGGACATACATTTGCTAGTGTGTATAGCAGGCTTGACATTTGAAAGAACTTTGTGAAAAAAAGCATCAACGCATACTCATATGTTTGAAAAACTCCGAATTTTGGAACAGATTATAAAATCAAAAGTCAAGTTATTATATACTGTCTGGTGCAGAATTTTGTTACGAACAAAATAAGCCATATTGCATGTTCATAGGTCATCTTGGTGGCGAGTTATTTCAGTTTTTCCGGTGGTTAGTATATTTCTGAATGGGCGTGGCGGCCATTTTAAAGATGGCCGCCAAATTGGTATGAAGCTACCGATCCTGAATGTCCGGGTGGGCTTTTTGAACACTTAAGACATCATGCTAACTGAAAATCCACATTGGACCTGTTCAGCTTTTTGATACTCATATTCGGTCTGGCTCATGGACTAATTTGTCCACTCAGAACAGATTTAGGTCATTTTTATTCCCGTCACACTTCAAAATATATTTCCATCCCTGTCTCCATGGTGAGGAACGGAAAGCATCAGCCATTTCAATATAACTAGAGTTTAGAACAGTTTTTTTATCAAGTTTTTATTGATATATTCAATACAAAAAAACTTGAACTCTTTAGAAAGCTTGACATCATTTATCCATAGGTCATTTCACTTAAAACGTTGAGTCATGTGCTTTTAAAAAAACACGCAATACTTTGCATGAGAAGACAACTGTTAATTTTTTTTGTTTTTTTTTGTTTGTTGCTTAACACCACACTCATGTTCCAGGCATATGACGGCGGTCTGTAAATAACTGAGTCTGGACCAGACGATTTAGTGATTGACGTCTTTATCATCAATCCACACACTTACGATGACACCCTTTCAACCAAGTCACCGGCCCGACCACTCCATCTGTGTATTCACCTCGTATGACGAGCATTGGTAACCCGAAATCATCACGAGTTTATAAGAATGAAAGAACGTCATAACAGTGTAACTGATTTCAGTAATAACAATCTACCCCATATCAAGAACTTTAAATGAAGACAATATAACATATCACAACCAAATTACGGTCAAGTTTCACTACATACGCAACCGATATAACTGTATCGGTTTTAAACATGAAACGGCATTGCCTAATGCACTGGAAATATGTTATGATCATAAAACAACCTGACGGTCAGAGTTACAATTGAAACCCGCCCTATTCGGGTGTATCCGTTAAATTAAAGGTCGTTATGTATAAGGTGTCGTCAAACTTAGACACGCGATAGATACGGGGCAGTAGCCAGGTGTCTCAAAGGACGAGCCCAACATCACTAGGTGGTGACATCAGGTGTAGCACTTTGAGATAGGGTTACAGCAAAGCTACCTTGTATGGAAACAAGACGGAACCTCCTGCCAAGTCACTAGTCACTGTTCGTTATTGATAACAACATTGTTCTTTTCTTATCAACTATCAACACTTCAGAAAAGAAACTTTTATCAGTTTTACACGACGCTAACAAATCTTCTGGATACCTTGTCGGACGATAGGGAATTAGAAGAAATCGTTTCAGGCTTTTTCTTTTTCAAATGACAGTGCAAGGTGAGTAATGGATTTATATTTCTCTTTCATTCATTTTCATTTTAATAATAATTCACTAATGGTACTTAGTGAAGAAGATCATTTCCTTCTTGTAAACGTTCTTTTAAGGTTCAGTGTAAATATATTGTCTTTGAAACACGCAGATACGAAATGTATCACATTGGGCTATGGCATGTTTGTGAATGACGTCACAATGTTAACTACCGGGTAGACGGGAGTAGACACTTGAAAACTGGATTTGACCAAGACATTTCAAACGTTATCGAAACTTTACTAAGCTGAAAACAGTCGCTGAATCAATGCCAACGTAAGGTCCAAAACAGAACTATCACACCCTGATCAAATACATCAACATCGAATAATTATATAACCCTTTCCTGTTTGTTTCACTTTTAGCCTCCATCAAACATTGTATACTTTATTTTGTCTGGCAGTTAATAATGTAGAGTGCATGGAAGGTATGTGTGGACGAACACAGACATTCGTATAACCTCAATGCACACAGCATTGTATTCAATGAATATCAGCAACCTTCGGGGATAGCAACGTCTTTATTGTGACAGGATATAAACTGACGTCCAAAAGAAACTTTACCAACTGAAAATATAAATTTCAGACAAAGTATAAATCTTTTTTCGATGAAGTCTATCTAAAACACATAACCTAAATACAACAATAGTGTATGTAGAACATGTTAATCGTCTGTTACATGTTTGCGAGATAACACGCGAAAAAGTGAAAAACACGTGCACCACGGACAACTTCAAATACACGTGCGGGTAAGGGTATAAAACGATTGCAACGGCAAGTCATACATCCACAATGATAAAAAAACACACAAAAGAAATGCAACGACTCACAGTCGAACAACGTGAACGAGCCTTGGGTATGGTACAGATGGGAGCCACCCACGCCCATATTGCACGAACCAACGGTTGCTCCCGTGTTGCCGTTACCAACTTGATGCAACGTTACAGACAGACAGGGCGGACCGCTGACAGGCCAAGAACAGGCAGACCCAGGGTGACCACGCCCCATGATGACCGGTACTTGCGTACCTTGCACCTCCGAAATCGCTTCCTGACAGTGACGTCATCGGCGACAAATGCCTTAGGTCACAGGATTAGTCGCCAGACAGTGGCCAGGGGACTCAGTGCTCATGGAATCAGGGCTTTTAGACCATACAGAGGACAGCTATTGAAAGCGCAACATCGTCGTCTGCGATTGAGATGGGCCCGGACTGTACGACGTTGGCAACGACGTGACTGGCAGAGGGTTGTCTTCACTGACGAAAGTCGATTCTGTATGTTTAGGGCTGATGGAAGACAATGTGTTTACCGCCGAAGGGGTTAACGAACGGCGGCGTGTTGCGTGCAGGAGGTCGTACCATATGGTGGAGAGAGTGTCATGGTGTGGGGAGGGATCTGTGGGCTGGAGAGGACACCACTGGTCATCGTTGACGGAAACTTGACAGCTCAGCGGTACATGGATAACATTCTTCGTCCAGTTGTCCTACCATTTCTCCAACAGCAGCCACGTGGTGTCATTTATCAGCATGAAAACGCTAGAGCCCATACAGCCAGAATTGTCACTATCTTCCTCGCAGCCAACAATGTCAACGTCCTGCCGTGGCCTGCACGCACACCCGACATGTCCCCCATAGAACACCTCTGGGACTTGATGGATCGTCGTGTTCGACAACGACCACACACTCCAGCCAACCGGCAAGAACTGATCTTGGCCCTCCAAGAAGAATGGCGTCAAATCCCACGTGACCTCATCAGACGACTGACTTTTTCTGTGCGTCGAAGAGATTTTGCGTGTATTGAGGCATTTGGTGGTCACACACGCTCCTAATGACCTGTTATTGAACGTGAGCGATTTTTTATGTACTCTGCCTATTGTCCATGATTCTTTAAAGCTCGAGTTTTGTACCACACCCAACTTTGGGGGGCTCTGACGTCATTCTCGGTCGCGGTATGATTGTCATTTTCAGTGTTGGTTATGTTGATATATTGATCTTCTCAATACACTTTACTTCATGCATGTATGTTTTGTTGTTTTTGAGCAAGAGTGATTTCAAACTCTGGTAAAGTTTCTTTTGGACGTCAGTTTATATAATACCAGCTTCGTTCTGATTATGAACCTTGGGTTGTCAGCATATAGCGTCATCTAGGACTTGCATCTCTTTACGCCAATAACTGCTTTTTATACGAAATCTCCCAATTTAAGTCGTCTACCAATGAGATCACTGTATGATCATCCTTGAAAAGCATTTGGCTGATGAAACGATTTCAGTTCCTTTCTGAGGTACATTTAAAGCGAGTATCGCTAGAAGGGACCACGTGCTCATCGATACTTTTAGCTAACGAGACACTCCCATCCGTAAATGAATTCCTAACACCCCTTAAATAACCGTATTGTATTACTGATATGTTGATTGCTGAAGTCAACGTATCTTTGTCCGTGAGTGAACGCCTCGCAGCCAACGGTTTGATAGTCCTAGCAGTTCGTGACAAAGCCTCACCCAGATTAAAGGCTATTTGATATGACATTAAGAAACATCCTGTATGCATCAACATGACTTCACGACATACAGTAATGTGCTTAACGAACGGAAGTGCGCTAGCCCATCACAAAGAAGTGTCACAACAGTGTAACATTGTTACAGACAGACAGACATTTATTCAGTTTAAGGCCACTGTTGGTTTGTATATCTGAATGTCTGTCTGTATGTTGGTCGAGCGTTCGTTTTTGCCTTGCCTGTCTATCAATATATGCCGGATTGTATATGTGAATGTCTGTCTGTATGTTGGTCGATCCTTCGTTTCTTGCCTTGCCTGTCTATCTGTATATGTTGATTTGTATATCTGAATGTCTGTCTGTATGTTGGTCGATCCTTCGTTTCTTGCCTTGCCTGTCTATCTGTATATGTTGATTTGTATATCTGAATGTCTGTCTGTATGTTGGTCGATCGTTCGTTTCTTGCCCTGCCTGTCTATCTGTATATGCCGGATTGTATATCTGAATGTCTGTCTGTATGTTGGTCGATCGTTCGTTTCTTGCCTTGCCTGTCTATCAATATATGCCGGATTGTATATCTGAATGACTGTCTGTATGTTGGTCGATCGTTCGTTTTCTTGCCTTGCCTGTCTATCAATATATGCCGGATTGTATATCTGAATGTCTGTCTGTATGTTGGTCGATCCTTCGTTTCTTGCCCTGCCTATCTATCAATATATGCCGGATTGTATATCTGAATGTCTGTCTGTATGTTGGTCGATACTTCGTTTCTTGCCCTGCCTGTCTATCTGTATATGCCGGATTGTATATCTGAATGTCTGTCTGTATGTTGGTCGATACTTCGTTTCTTGCCCTGCCTGTCTATCAATATATGCCGGATTGTATATCTGAATGTCTGTCTGTATGTTGGTCGATCCTTCGTTTCTTGCCTTGCCTGTCTATCTGTATATGTGGGTTTGTATGTCTGAATGTCTGTCTGTATGTTGGTCGATCGTTCGTTTCTTGCCTTGCCCGTCTATCTGTATATGATTGTTTGTATATCTGAATGTCTGTCTGTATGTTGGTCGATCCTTCGTTTCTTGCCTTGCCCGTCTATCTGTATATGATTGTTTGTATATCTGAATGTCTGTCTGTATGTTGGTCGATCCTTCGTTTCTTGCCCTGCCTGTCTATCAATATATGCCGGATTGTATATCTGAATGTCTGTCTGTATGTTGGTCGATCCTTCGTTTCTTGCCCTGCCTGTCTATCAATATATGCCGGATTGTATATCTGAATGTCTGTCTGTAAGTTGGTCGATCCTTCGTTTCTTGCCTTGCCTGTCTATCTGTATATGTGGGTTTGTATGTCTGAATGTCTGTCTGTATGTTGGTCGATCGTTCGTTTCTTGCCTTGCCCGTCTATCTGTATATGATTGTTTGTATATCTGAATGTCTGTCTCTATGTTGGTCGATGTGAATGGTTACAAAGTATTATTGCTAAATATATTATACCTGTAGAAAATCTATGTACCTAATTACCTAGACGTAACGTTCCATCCACCCATCCATCCATTTCTGCACTCACTCACTCACTCACTCACTCACTCTACAAATGTTAGCTTTCACTATATTATTGTTATGGAAACCCAATACAATTTTCCTGTTTTGCATAAATTCACAGGCTGCAGTTGCCATACTAAATAAGACCGCCTCCGTGGTCTCGTGGTAGAGCGCCCGCCCGGATAGCAGAAGGTCCGGGGTTCGATCCCTGGCCGAGTCATACCAAAAGACATTAAAAGATGCGTTCGACGTTAAGGGGCTAAAACAAGGAATGGTCAGCTCGGAGTCAGTATACTGTTTCCGAGTGGGTTATTTTAAACTGCTGCATGGTAACTCAGTGAGCTAGCAACCTACAACCCCCCCCCCACACACACACACACACACACACATCCAGGACGATATATGAGTACTATAATCTTGGACGCGACGTTAAACCACACTTCACTTCACCTAACCATAAAAAAATATCGTGAGACGTAATTACGCACATGCTTGTCGTTGAATTGGGTTCATTTGTATTTCACAACTGTTCGCCTGACCCATATTTGATCTTTCGCATGCCGCCTTGATATATCTACGGCGTATCACAGCATCCCCATAGTTTGGTCTACTTTGGTCTAAATAAATTGATACACTTTTTATATGATGCTCGACCATAACTGAATTCTGACTATATGGACTTTCAGATTAATCGGACAAATGGATTTACTACGTACTTACTTGGTGGCTATAGCTGTGTGTGTCATTGGATCGGTTCTTTCTCAAAACACCTCAAGTAAGTATTTATAAATGTCTTTATTCTCCTCCATTCATACATTTGTATCATTATTCAGTGTAACAAAGCAGTACAACACTAATAATATGCAGCAGCAGCAGCAGCAGCAGAAACAGCGTCAGTATTATCATCCTCATCCTCATCATCTTCAGCAGCAGCAGCAGCAGCAGCGGAACCAGATTTCACAGGTACTGAAACCTCACCATCACCAGCTAAAATAACCACAAGTATGACTAGTACTACCATGGTCATCTGTGGGTGTGGCAAGCACCAAGGGGGTCTCCGAATTTGTTATCTTTTTCGAGGTTGACCATTCACAGTAACGATAGCGTCATTCTATTGGTCGGACGACAAAGTAGACACAATTTATGGATAACAATTTTATGGATAGATCCTTATACCCTTGTCAAGCAAGTACCTTTTGGTAGGGTTATCTTGGATTACCTTCAATCAAATAGAAACAGTTGCCAAGTGCAAGCACCGTTTGGTGCGACCAGACATGCCTAAACTCCTGTACATCCATATACAGTGAAACCACGAGAATCTGGAACCTTGATTCTCTATTGATTTGATTGATTTCGTGCGACCAGACATGCCTAAACCCCTGTACATCCATATACAGTGAAGCCCCGAGAATCTGGAACCCTCATAAAGTGACCATTACTATTGGAACCGTTCGTTAGTGAAGGGCTAGTGGGTTTCTTTACCCATAGGTATCCGTGTATGAAATGTCATATAACATTGTCTTTTGTCAGCCGCTTCTATCAAGTGCAAGATCTTTTCGTTGGCATACTATCACCCCACCAGTAATGTGCACAGCACCACTGTGCTTCAAGCATTAACACCTCCAACCATTGACTATTTCAGACAACTTCGAGCCCGAGTTACGTGAATTCTCGAAAGAGAGTTTAATGCTTGTCGACGAAATATTATTCCGCCGCAAGCGAGCGGATGACGATGTTGTTGGCAGTGGAGGCATGTAATGCACAAATTGCACCTGTCATTTATTCCCTTCACAATCACGCATGCCTTCTATAAAGACCTTAACGCCAACACCTCATCTGCCAGCTGAAGACCCTATAGGCTCCGCAAATTCACTTGTATCTATTGACCCCAATGCCTCACCATCAGATATAGACCCTAAAGCCTTCACCAATTCACTAACAGCTATCTACCCTTAAGTCTTCAACATCACCTATAGATAATACAATCTTCACCGATTCATCGACATCAATAGACATCAAAGCACCATCAATTCACGAAACATCTGCTCATCCTTGATTATATATATTATTATATATCACGAATCTGTCACACAACAAGGCTCACCATTTGAGAAACATTACACGATACATTCCATGCCTCAAATAGAAGGACTTGCGCAATTGTGACATCTGTTACTTGATGTCATTGAAGTACATCCACCAAATCCTGAGTCAATTACGCAAATTGTTTCACTGTGACAAGTCCGTTATGGGGCCTCCCCTCTCATGCTGTACTGACATCTTCATGGATGGCTTTGAGTGTTAAGCCCTTTTTCTTCAAGTACTTGATCACTGCACTTTCCCTAAGTGTGTACATTTTACAAAGGTCACATACCTATTTTTCTGACTTATCACAGGAACACCATTTGCTCAAATGACTCAAGTGTTTTGTGGATGTTCCTCTTTGATGCCATGTTATGATAACAGCAAAATATTTCAATATTTCACAATTCCTTCTTTGTAAGGCTTAGAATGTTTCAATCATCACTCGTACATGGCCATCGACCCCAAGTCCAATAATATCGAATGAGTGAACCAGAACACAATAATAATGCAAAAGTGTTTTATGTCCGAACGATAGCATCACTTCAAAAGTCGCTTTTCAAGAACCCTACACACGTAAGTTAAGATAAGTTCCAGGATAGTCAAGCCATGGCGTCGAAAGCCCCGGGTTTGATTCCCGACTTGGGTAAAATATATTAGCCGAATTTCCTGGTTTCTTTCGCATTGGAATATTGCATATTCACAAAGTAGTTCTGTCAATACGTCATCTCCTTACATAATGATCTATTCACTTACAAACACCGACAGCATTTTTCAGTTATATCACGTCAGTAAATAATCACGCCTAGTACAGACAAACCAGTGGTTGATAGCATGAGCGTCAGGATAGACACACAATCAGCCACGTCACAGACATATTATCCAGCAACCTAAGTGTGCCCATGGTCCCTGAATAACAACACCCTGTTCAGACAAGATGTGCTGTAGAACTGTCTACAAACAGAATCCAGAAAACAATGATAAAGGATTCGCGTATGCCAACGTATAGATCCTGCAGAGTGACACACGGTTGGCTGATGTTTATGTCCGTGGTTTAGGTGCATTAGTCATTGACATCCGAAAGAAGCAACACACCGCGCAACCAGCTTTGAATGCCTCGACCGTTAGACCGTCAGACGGGAATACCATGGACTGTACACGGATGAAAGGTACTGTGACAGTGGTAGACTTGGAGACAGTTGTAGGCTTGCAGAAGTTGTATGCTTGTAGACAGTTGTAGGCTTGCAGACAGTCCTAGGCTTGTAGACAGTCGTAGGCTTTCAGACAGTCGTGGGCATGCAGACAGTTGTAGGCTTGCAGAAGTTGTATGCTTGTAGACAGTCGTAGGCTTGCAGACAGTCGTAGGCTTGCAGACAGTTGTAGGCTTGTAGACTGTTGTTGACTTGTAGACAGTTGCAGGCTTGCAGACAGTTGTAGGCTTGCAGACAACTGGTTCAACTATTGGTACGTCCATAACACCAGTGTGAACATCAACAGCGGCTGTAACATCATATCAGAATACCATCCTAAGGAAGAGCTAAAAAATGCAGGTTATTGTAAGACCACGTACACACAATCAGCGGGAAGATCGGTCAACACATGGTAAACTGATCAGTTCCTTTCACACATAATGTCCACAAATAACAAATCCCTAAAATCCCGCAACAACTTCTTCCCTGCCAGTGGACACATCCCAGCTAATACAAACCCCAACCGTCTAGTACGTTCTACAGGCACCTGTGATTCCATGCACTGTACACTGTACACTTCCACACAGTGTACACTCCACGCTCCCAGCGACACTTCCACACAGTGTACACTCCACGCTCCCAGCGACATTTCCACACAGTGTACACTGCACTCTCCCAGCGACACTTCCACACAGTGTACACTCCACACTCCTAGCGACACTTCCACACAGTGTACACTCCACTCTCCCAGCAACACTTCCAGACGGAGTGTATACTCCGCTCTCCCAGCGACACTCCACACACACTGTACACTCTCCCAGCAACTTCCACACGGAGTGTACACTCCACTCTCCCGGCAACACTTCCACACAGTGTACACTCCACTCTCCCAGCAACACTTCCACACACAGTGTTCACTTCACTCTCCCAGCAACACTTCCACACACAGTGTTCACTCCACTCTCCCAGCAACACTTCCACAGACAATGTACGCTCCACTCTCCCAGCAACACTTGCACACAAAGAGTTCACTCCACTCTCCCAGCAACACTTCCACACACACTGTTCACTCCACTCTCCCAGCAACATTTCCACACAGTGTACGCTACAACTCTCCCAGCAACACTTCCACACACAGTGTACACTCCACTCTCCCAGCAACACTTACACACACAGTGTACACTCCTCTCTCCCAGCAACACTTCCACACACAGTGTTCACTCCACTCTCCCAGCAACATTTCCACACAGTGTACGCTACAACTCTCCCAGCAACACTTCCACAGACAATGTACACTCCACTCTCCCAGCAACACTTCAACACACAGTGTACACTCCACTCTCCCAGCAACACTTCCACACACAGTGTTCACTCCACTCTCCCAGCAACATTTCCACACAGTGTACGCTACAACTCTCCCAGCAACACTTCCACACACAGTGTACACTCCACTCTCCCAGCAACACTTCCACACACAGTGTACACTCTCCCTGCAACTTCCACCCGGAGTGTACACTCCGCTCTCCAGCTACACTTGCACACACAGTGTACACTCCCCTCTCCCAGCAATACAACCACGCATAGTGTACCCTCTATACTCCCAGAAACACTTCCACACACAGTGTACACTCCACTCTCCCAGCAATACTTCCACACACAGTGTAAACTCTCCCAGCAACACTTCCACAGAGCGTGTATACAACAGTGATCAATACTTAAAATCCAATCCCATGTAAACCGAGATTCAAGTATAAATAATTTCATACTTTGAAGTTTGCACTGTTTCTTTCATGCTGATTGGCTAAAGGGGTAGTCGTGTGATCTGATATTTGGGGTTCATACACCTGTAAACGGACAGAAAAAAGTTTTTGTGAAATTGATTGTGTGAACTTTTTCCAGAACTACTTTTCGAGGTTTCCCTGGATTCTCGATCGGTGTTTACGATCAACTCGTTTTTCTATTTTCTTTTTAATACCTGCATTTATCAGCAATAGTATTAATTTAGTATTTTGTCTGTCTTGTAACATTTCATCTGACTTAGAAATAGATAAATGCTTTGGTTCTGGTGATTGATGTCGTCTAGCTGCTACATTAAACAAAATGGATTGTCCTTGCGGTGATTTGGATATGGAATGGCTAACTTTCAATACTCATAACGCAAGTGAAGAAAATTAATTCTGTAAAATTTCTGATGTGAACGAAATTGATTTATTGAGCGATATTGACTTTGATGCCTTGTTTTCGGAAATGAGAGGAATCTCGCACCAATGAAAACAATGTAGTAGCCTGCTCAGATGTGTCCGCTGACACAGAGCAAACGCGACTGCTCCTGATCAATCCCAAACTAAAACCCGATTTACAATCGTATCGGGAAAAAAATCTAAGATTTTGAGAAACCATAAAACACAAAAAGGTAAGGAAAGAGACTTAAATTTTTAAAAAACAACAACCAAAACTTGCCTACCTGTTTTATCGATTGGTCATCGGAGAAGAGAAAATATCCGTAGACGGAATTAGAAGTCTACTATTCCGGTTTCTGAGTTGGCCGACCTTCTCCGTGCATTCTAGGCCGAGAAGCGGCGGCACATGAGGAGTGACAGGGCACAGTAATGAAGCTGGCATCAGGTCATACAGTAGGATCATCTCAGTTGACAAGAAACACCAGCTAAGCAAAGTATTACAGCACACACGACAAATCCCAAACTCCAAATATAACACACCCTGACGTTGAAAATTAACACAAAACATACAAGTTTCAGAGCACTCGGTTCAATCCCCACCAGTCCATTCCGCATCGTCCGAATTGGTTTGCGATTATCAAAACACAAGCAACACATTCCTAAATCGGTGATATTCCCAATTTGCTAGGGCCATGAGAGGGTTCACGCGTCGGGGTGTTTTTTATAACTCCTCCATAAACTTCATTTCAACGGCAGTAAGTATAAATTTCATCCTCATGCTCCCGTTCGACTCGAAATGCACCTCTTTACAAACTTATGTGACGTCATATATAAATCCGCGCTTGAAGGTTGACCTCGCCCCGGTGCGTCAAGGACATGTTTATATTTTTGTTCACCTTGCTGTAACCTATTTTTAAGATTTGATTTATCCCAAATATTGTTTGTTAATTTGTTGAGGATCAAACTATGTTGACATATTTCTAGATTAAGTTGTATATATTCAAAGAACTATGTTTCTTTGCGTAAATGAGTATGAGTTGGGAAAAGTATGTGACCGAGAGCCGGCAAAAAACCGACAATGTAACATTGTTGCAATGTTCCTTAAATCGTTCACGCTTCAATGAACCCATCCAAACTGACGTTCAATTCCTGAGTATCTGACACGATTAACAAATGTTGGGTATGTTGATTCATGAAGATAGGGACGACAAAGGTTTCCTAATTGTGGAGTAACTGTTTTAGGTGGTGATGTGAACACTGAGAGCACGGAGGAGACAACGTCTACTACAACGCTAGATCCTGGTAAATATACCGTTAAATGATACATAAATTACATAGAAATGGAACTATAAAGAGTAAGGTTCCCACATGCATGTAATTTAACATTGTATGATGCATCATAATCAACAGAGTCTTCCACATCCTCGCATGCAGATACGGGAACTACAGCTCCTTCAACGACAGATACGGAGTTCACAACGATTTCCTTTGCAAACACGGCCACTACAACAGTAGTCACACCAGTGGCCGTTACTCCTGGTAAGAACCCATTCAAAAGATAGCCAAGTTTTGTTCTGAATGGCTTCACAGAGTGTGTATACGACAGTGATTGACACTAAACATCCAATCCTATGTACACCGAGATTCAAGTGTAAATGATGTTCATTCAAATGCATCTGACACGATTCACAAATGGTTGGGTATGTTGATTCATGAAGATAGGGACGACAAAGGTTTCCTAATTGTGGAGTAACTGTTTTAGGTGGCGGTGTGAACACTGAGAGCACGGAGGAGACAACGTCTACTACAACGCTAGATCCTGGTAAATATACCGTTAAATGATACATAAATTGCATAGAAATGGAACTATAAAGGGAAAGGTTCCCACATACATGTAATTTTAAGATTGTATGATGCTTCATAATCAACAGTGTCTTCCACATCCTCGCCTGCAGATACGGGAACTACAGCTCCTTCAACGACAGATACGGAGTTCACAACGATTACCTCTGCAAACACGGCCACTACAACAGCAGTCACACCAGTGGCCGTTACTCCTGGTAAGAACCAGTTCAAAAGATAGCCAAGTTTTGTTCTGAATGGCTACAACAAGAGGAGCCAACTCCCTGCAGTACTTCCACACACAGTGTACAGTCTCCCTGCAGTACTTCCACACACAGTGTACACTCCACTCTCCCAGCAACACTTCCACACACAGTGTACACTCTTCCAGCAACAGTTCCACACACTCTGTACACTCCACTCTCCCTGCAGCACTTCCACACACAGTGTACAGTCTCCCTGCAGTACTTCCACACACAGTGTACGCTCCACTCTCCCTGCAGTACTTCCACACACAGTGTACGCTCCACTCTCCCTGCAGCACTTCCACACACAGTGTACACTCCACTCTCCCTGCAGCACTTCCACACACAATGTACACTCCACTCTCCCTGCAGTACTTCCACACACAGTGTACACTCCACTCTCCCAGCAGCACTTCCACACACAGTGTACACTCCACTCTCCCAGCAACACTTCCACACACAGTGTACACTCCACTCTCCCAGCAACTCTTCCACACACAGTGTACACTCCACTCTCCCTGCAGCACTTCCACACACAGTGTACGCTCCACTCTCCCAGCAACACTTCCACACACAGTGTACACTCCACTCTCCCTGCAGCACTTCCACACACAGTGTACACTCCACTCTCCCAGCAACTCTTCCACACACACAGTGTACACTCGCCCAGCAACACTTCCACACACAGTGTACACTCTCCCAGCAACACTTCCACAGACAGTGTGAACTCCACTCTCCACTCTCCAAGAACACTGAGAGCATGGAGGAGAAAACGTCTACTACAACGCTAGATCCTGGTAAATATACCTTTGAATGATATATTAATTGCATAGAAATGGAACTATAAAGGGAAAGATTCCCACATACATGTAATTTTAAGATTGTATGATGCTTCATAATCAACAGTGTCTTCCACATCCTCGCCTGCAGATACGGGAACTACAGCTCCTTCAACGACAGATACGGAGTTCACAACGATTACCTCTGCAAACACGGCCACTACAACAGCAGTCACACCAGTGGCCGTTACTCCTGGTAAGAACCAGTTCAAAAGATAGCCAAGTTTTGTTCTCAATGGCTACAACAAGGGGAGCCAACTCCCTGCAATACTTCCACACACAGTGTACAGTCTCCCTGCAGTACTTCCACACACAGTGTACACTCCACTCTCCCAGCAACACTTCCACACACTGTGTACACTCTTCCAGCAACAGTTCCACACACTCTGTACACTTCACTCTCCCTGCAGCACTTCCACACACAGTGTACAGTCTCCCTGCAGTACTTCCACACACAGTGTACACCCCTCTCTCCCTGCAGCACTTCCACACACTGTGTACACTCTTCCAGCAACACTTCCACACACTGTGTACACTCCACTCTCCCGACAACACTTCCACACACAGTGTACACTCTCCAAGCAAACACTTCCACACACAGTGTACATTCCTCTCACCCAGTAACACTTCCACACACAGTGTACACTCCACTCTCCCTGCAGTACTTCCACACACAGTGTACACTCCACTCTCCCTGCAGTACTTCCACACACAATGTAAATCTTCCAGTAACACTTCAACACAGTGTACACTCCAATCTCCTTGCAGTACTTCCACACACAGTGTACACTCCACTCTCCCTGCAGCACTTCCACACACAGTGTACACTCCGCTCTCCCTGCAGTACTTCCACACAGAGTGTACACTACACTCTCCCAGCAACACTTCCACACACAGTGTACACTCCACTCTCCCTGCAGTACTTCCACACACAGTGTACACTCTTCTAGCAACACTTCCACACACAGTGTACACTCCACTCTCCCTGCAGCACTTCCACACACAGTATACACTCCACTCTCCCTGCAGTACTTCCACACACAGTGTACACTCCACTCTCCCGACAACACTTCCACACACAGTGTACACTCCACTCTCCCTACAGTACTTCCACACACAGTGTACACTCCACTCTCCCTGCAGCACTTCCACACACAGTGTACACTCCACTCTCCCGACAACACTTCCACACACAGTGTACACTCCACTCTCCCTACAGTACTTCCACACAGAGCGTACACTCCACTCTCCCTACAGCACTTCCACAGACAGTGTACACTCCACTCTCCTTGCAGTACTTCCACACACAGTGTACACTCCACTCTTCCAGCAACACTTCCACACACAGTGTACACTCCTCTCTCCCTGCAGTACTTCCACACACAGCGTACACTCTTCTTGCAACACTTCCACACACAGTGTACACTCCACTCTCCCTGCAGTACTTCCACACACAGTGTACACTCCACTCTCCCAGCAACACTTCCACACACAGTGTACACTCCACTCTCCCTGCAGTACTTCCACACACAGTGTACACTCTTCTAGCAACACTTCCACACACAGTGTACACTCCACTCTCCCTGCAGCACTTCCACACACAGTATACACTCCACTCTCCCTGCAGTACTTCCACACACAGTGTACACTCCACTCTCCCGACAACACTTCCACACACAGTGTACACTCCACTCTCCCTACAGTACTTCCACACAGAGTGTACACTCCACTCTCCCTGCAGCACTTCCACACACAGTGTACACTCCACTCTCCCGACAACACTTCCACACACAGTGTACACTCCACTCTCCCTACAGTACTTCCACACAGAGTGTACACTCCACTCTCCCTACAGCACTTCCACAGACAGTGTACACTCCCTCTCCTTGCAGTACTTCCACACACAGTGTACACTCCACTCTCCCAGCAACACTTCCACACACAGTGTACACTCCACTCTCCCTGCAGTACTTCCACACACAGTGTACACTTTCCTTGCAACACTTCCACACACAGTGTACACTCCACTCTCCCTGCAGCACTTCCACACACAGTGTACACTCCACTCTCCCAGCAACACTTCCACACACAGTGTACACTCCACTCTCCCTGCAGTACTTCCACACACAGTGTACACTCCACTCTCCCAGCAACACTTCCACACACAGTGTACACTCCACTCTCCCTACAGTACTTCCACGCACAGTGCACGCTCTTCCAGCAATAGTTCCACACACTGTGTACACTCCACTCTCCCTGCAGTACTTCCACACACAGTGTACACTCCACTCTCCCTGCAGCACTTCCACAGACAGTGTACTCTCCACTCTACCAGCAGCACTTCCACACACAGTGTACACTCCACTCTCTCTGCAGTACTTCCACACACAGTGTACACTCCACTCTCCCAGCAGTACTTCCACACACAGTGTACACTCCACTCTCCCAGCAGTACTTCAACACATAGTGTAAATCATCCAGCAACAGTTCCACACACAATGTACACTCCACTCTCCCTGCAGTACTTCCACACACAGTGTACACTCCACTCTCCCTGCAGTACTTCCACACACAGTGTACACTCCACTCTCCCTGCAGCACTTCCACACACAGTGTATACTCCACTCTCCCTGCAGTACTTCCACACACAGTGTACACTCGCCCAGCAACACTTCCACACACAGTGTACACTCCACTCTCCCTGCAACACTTCCACAGACAGTGTGAACTCCGCTCTCCCAGCAACACTTCCACACACAGTGTACACTCTCCCAGCAACACTTCCACAGACAGTGTGAACTCCACTCTCCACTCTCCCAGAACATTGAGAGCACGGAGGAGACAACGTCTACTACAACGCTAGATCCTGGTAAATATACCGTTGAATGATATATAAATTACATAGAAATGGAACTATAAAGGGTAAACTTCCCACATACATGTAATTTAACATTGTATGATGCTTCATAATCAACAGTGTCTTCCACATCCTCGCATGAAGATACGGGAACTACAGCTCCTTCAACGACAGATACGGAGTTCACAACGATTACCTCTGCAAATACGGCCACTGCAACAACAGTCACACCAGTGGCCGTTACTCCTGGTAAGAACCCATTCAAAAGATAGCCAAGTTTTGTTCTGAATGGCTTCAACAAGAGGAGCCAACTTCCACACTTCCGCACCACTCTTCCAGCAACAGTTCCACATGCAGTGTACACTCCACTCTTCCAGCAATACTTCCACATGCAGTGTACACTCCACTCTCCCTGCAACACTTCCACATGCAGTGTACACTCCACTCTTCCAGCAATACTTCCACAGACAGTGTACACTCCACTCTCCCAGCAACACTTCGACAGACTGTGTACCCTCCACTCTTCCAGCAACACTTCCACATGCAGTGTACACTCCATTCTCTCAGCCACACTATCACAGACAGTGTACACTCCACTCTCCCTGCAGCACTTCCACACACAGTGTACACTCCACTCTCCCAGCAACACTTCCACACACAGTGTACACTCCACTCTCCCTGCAGTACTTCCACACACAGTGTACACTCCACTCTCCCAGCAACACTTCCACACACAGTGTACACTCCACTCTCCCTACAGTACTTCCACGCACAGTGCACGCTCTTCCAGCAATAGTTCCACACACTGTGTACACTCCACTCTCCCTGCAGTACTTCCACACACAGTGTACACTCCACTCTCCCTGCAGCACTTCCACAGACAGTGTACTCTCCACTCTCCCAGCAGCACTTCCACACACAGTGTACACTCCACTCTCTCTGCAGTACTTCCACACACAGTGTACACTCCACTCTCCCAGCAGTACTTCCACACACAGTGTACACTCCACTGTCCCAGCAGTACTTCAACACATAATGTAAATCATCCAGCAACAGTTCCACACACAATGTACACTCCACTCTCCCTGCAGTACTTCCACACACAGTGTACACTCCACTCTCCCTGCAGTACTTCCACACACAGTGTACACTCCACTCTCCCTGCAGCACTTCCACACACAGTGTATACTCCACTCTCCCTGCAGTACTTCCACACACAGTGTACACTCGCCCAGCAACACTTCCACACACAGTGTACACTCCACTCTCCCTGCAACACTTCCACAGACAGTGTGAACTCCGCTCTCCCAGCAACACTTCCACACACAGTGTACACTCTCCCAGCAACACTTCCACAGACAGTGTGAACTCCACTCTCCACTCTCGCAGAACACTGAGAGCACGGAGGAGACAACGTCTACTACAACGCTAGATCCTGGTAAATATACCGTTGAATGATATATAAATTACATAGAAATGGAACTATAAAGGGTAAACTTCCCACATACATGTAATTTAACATTGTATGATGCTTCATAATCAACAGTGTCTTCCACATCCTCGCATGAAGATACGGGAACTACAGCTCCTTCAACGACAGATACGGAGTTCACAACGATTACCTCTGCAAATACGGCCACTGCAACAACAGTCACACCAGTGGCCGTTACTCCTGGTAAGAACCCATTCAAAAGATAGCCAAGTTTTGTTCTGAATGGCTTCAACAAGAGGAGCCAACTTCCACACTTCCGCACCACTCTTCCAGCAACAGTTCCACATGCAGTGTACACTCCACTCTTCCAGCAATATTTCCACATGCAGTGTACACTCCACTCTCCCTGCAACACTTCCACATGCAGTGTACACTCCACTCTTCCAGCAATACTTCCACAGACAGTGTACACTCCACTCTCCCAGCAACACTTCCACAGACTGTGTACCCTCCACTCTTCCAGCAACACTTCCACATGCAGTGTACACTCCATTCTCTCAGCCACACTATCACAGACAGTGAACACTCCACTCTCCCTGCAGCACTTCCACACACAGTGTACACTCCACTCTCCCTGCAGCACTTCCACACACAATGTATACTCCACTCTCCCTGCAGTACTTCCACACACAGTGTACACTCCTCTCTCCCAGCAACACTTCCACACACACAGTGTACACTCGCCCAGCCACACTTCCACACACAGTGTACACTCCACTCTCCCAGCAACACTTCCACAGACAGTGTGAACTCCGCTCTCCCAGCAACACTTCCACACACAGTGTACACTCTCCCAGCAACACTTCCACAGACAGTGTGAACTCCACTCTCCACTCTCCCAGAACACTGAGAGCACGGAGGAGACAACGTCTACTACAACGCTAGATCCTGGTAAATATACCGTTGAATGATATATAAATTACATAGAAATGGAACTTTAAAGGGTAAACTTCCCACATACATGTAATTTAACATTGTATGATGCTTCATAATCAACAGTGTCTTCCACATCCTCGCATGAAGATACGGGAACTACAGCTCCTTCAACGACAGATACGGAGTTCACAACGATTACCTCTGCAAATACGGCCACTGCAACAGCAGTCACACCAGTGGCCGTTACTCCTGGTAAGAACCCATTCAAAAGATAGCCAAGTTTTGTTCTGAATGGCTTCAACAAGAGGAGCCAACTTCCACACTTCCGCACCACTCTTCCAGCAACAGTTCCACATGCAGTGTACACTCCACTCTTCCAGCAATACTTCCACATGCAGTGTACACTCCACTCTCCCTGCAACACTTCCACATGCAGTGTACACTCCACTCTTCCAGCAATACTTCCACAGACAGTGTACACTCCACTCTCCCAGCAACACTTCCACAGACTGTGTACCCTCCACTCTTCCAGCAACACTTCCACATGCAATGTACACTCCATTCTCTCAGCCACACTATCACAGACAGTGTACGCTCCACTCTCCCAGCAACACTTCCAGAGACAGTGTAGAATCCACTCTCCCAGCAACACTTCCACATGCAGTGTACACTCCAGTCTCCCAGCAACACTTCCACAGACTGTGTACACTCCACTCTCCCAGCAACACTTCCACATGTAGTGTACACTCCACTCTTCCAGCAATACTTCCACAGACAGTGTACACTCCACTCTCCCAGCAACACTTCCACAGACTGTGTACACTCCTCTCTTCCAGCAGTACTTCCACACACAGTGTACACTCCACTCTCCCTGCAGTACTTCCACACACAATGTAAATCTTCCAGTAACACTTCAACACAGTGTACACTCCAATCTCCTTGCAGTACTTCCACACACAGTGTACACTCCACTCTCCCTGCAGTACTTCCACACACAGTGTAAATCTTCCAGCAACACTTCCACACACAGTGTACACTCCACTCTCCTTGCAGTACTTCCACACACAGTGTACACTCCACTCTCCCTGCAGTACTTCCACACACAGTGTACACTCCACTCTCCCTGCAGCACTTCCACACACAGTGTACACTCCACTCTCCCTGCAGCACTTCCACACACAATGTACGCTCCACTCTCCCTGCAGTACTTCCACACACAGTGTACACTCCACTCTCCCTGCAGCACTTCCACACACAGTGTACGCTCCACTCTCCCAGCAACACTTCCACACACAGTGTACACTCTCCCAGCAAAACTTCCACAGACAGTGTGAACTCCACTCTCCACTCTCCCAGAACACTGAGAGCATGGAGGAGACAACGTCTACTACAACGCTAGATCCTGGTAAATATACCTTTGAATGAGATACTAATTACATAGAAATGGAACTATAAAGGGTAAAGTTCCCACATACATGTAATTTAACATTGTATGATGCTTCATAATCAACAGTGTCTTCCACATCCTCGCATGAAGATACGGGAACTACAGCTCCTTCAACTACAACAGCAGTCACACCAGTGGTCGTTACTCCTGGTAAGAACCCATTCAAAACATAGCCAAGTATTGTTCTGAATGGCTTCAACGAGAGGAGCCAACTTCCACACTTCCGCACCACTCTTCCAGCAACACTTTCACAGACAGTGTACACTCCACTCTTACAGCAATACTTCCACAGACAGTGTACGCTCCACTCTCCCAGCAACACTTCCACAGACAGTGTAGAATCCACTCTCCCAGCAACACTTCCACATGCAGTGTACACTCCAGTCTCCCAGCAACACTTCCACAGACTGTGTACACTCCACTCTTTCAGCAACACTTCCACATGCAGTGTACACTCCACTCTTCCAGCAATACTTCGCCAGACAGTGTACACTCCACTCTCCCAGCAACACTTCCACAGACAGTGTACACTCAACTCTCCCAGCAACAGTTCCAAATGCAGTGTACACTCCACTCTTCCAGCAATACTTCCACAGACAGTGTACACTCCACTCTCCCAGCAACACTTCCACAGACTGTGTACACTCCACTCTTAAAGCAACACTTCCACATGCAGTGTACACTCCACTCTTACAGCAATACTTCCACAGACAGTGTACACTCCACTCTTCCAGCAATACTTCCACAGACAGTGTACATTCTACTCTTCCAGCAACACTTCCACAGACAGTGTACACTCTTCCAGCAACACTTCCACAGACAGTGTACACTCCACTCTTCCAGCAATACTTCCACAGACAGTGTACACTCCACTCTCCCAGCAACACTTCCACAGACAGTGTACACTCGACTCTTCCAGCAACACTTCCTCATGCAGTGTACACTCCACTCTTCCAGCAATACTTCCACAGACAGTGCATGTACACTCCACTCTCCCAGCAACACTTCCACGGACTGTGTACACTCGACTCTTCCAGCAATACTTCCACAGACAGTTTACACTCCACTCTTCAAGCAGTACTTCCACAGAGAGTGTAGACTCCACGCTCCCAGCAACATTTCTACAGACAGTGTACACTCCACTCTTCCAGCAATACTTCCACAGACAGTGTACACGCCACTCTTCCAGCAATACTTCCACACACAGTGCACATTCCACTCTTCCAGCAATACTTTCACACACAGTGTACATTCCACTCTTCCAGCAATACTTCCACAGACAGTGTACACTCCACTCCCCCAGCAATACTTCCACAGACAGTGTACACTCCACTCTTCCAGCAATACTTCCGCAAACAGTGTACACTCCACTCTCCCGTCAACACTTCCACACACAGTGTACACTCCACTCCCCCAGCAACAGTTCCACACGGTGTATTCTCCACTCTCCCAGCAATACTTCCACACACAGTGTACACTCCACTCTCCTAGCAACACTTCCACAGAGAGTGTACACTCCACTCTTCCAGCAACACTTCCACAGACAGTGTACACTTTATTCTCTCAGCAACACTTCCGCACACAGTGTACGCTGCACTCTCCCAGCAACACTTCCACAGACAGTGTAGACTCCACTCTCCAAGCAACACTTCCACACACATTGTACACTCCACACACACACACCACACATGTGAACGCGACGTTAAACCTTATTTCACCTCACCTCTTCTTTCATCAGTGCTCAGTGCTGTACCCCGTGGGATATCCGGGGATTCCGGGGATTCCGGGGAAAGAGGGGTCATAAGAGGTCTTAAGTTACTAACCGTGGCTGACTGCGCTTTAATGTTCCGATTGCATGGGTCATTTCTCATGATTTTGTCTGGCCCACACCCGATTATTTACTGGACTATTGCTGACTGCGGCGTTAAACATCATTCGACTTATTTAGTTTCAGTGAACATCACAGGGAAGTGCAACCAAACGGACGAGACATACATCAGTGACAACACATCAGTAGTGGTGGGGTGTATTTTCAGCAGTTACCCTTCCAGGAATCTCAACATTACCTGCCAGAGAGGAGACACCTTGATGTCAACATCTAGCAGAATATTCTACAAAACTGGACGTGAAAATTTTTTGTTTTCTGTTCAGCTGAAATTTATTCCAATCTTGCGCCGCGACAGAGGTAGGCAAGACGAACGTCGTGGAGCATATCCACCTCCTTTGTTATCTACATCGTGCTTATTAACTCAGTTAGCTTCTGATCTCGCTGCTGAATCAGTAATTCCGTATCAATCGTTTATTGGAAACAGTTGTAAATAATTGTTATCTAACAACATTTTGATGATGATCAACATATATCGCAAGCGTACGGATTCACTTTTTTCATTTTTGTGTCGGTTTAAATCTCTTCAGATCCTCGTTGACATGTATCTATGAAATATGACGAATTCTTTAAAAAGCCATATATTTTCGTTTGCCAAATATGATTTCTGCTCCCACTTGATTGATTAGAAGTGCTTAATTCTTGTTTAACTCTTATTTGTGGCATTTATCTGCTATAGTCAGTAATATATAGTTCCTACAAACCTTTTCTTCTAGGTAACTATAGCTGCAAGGCAACAGTGGGTGAGTCATCTCTGGAGATACCCTTCTCTATCCTGGTGTATGAAGGCCCGACTGTGACGCTGTCACCGTCCACTTTGTCCCTGCAGGAAGGGGATCAGAGGAACTTCACCTGCCAGGTTAACAACGCACTTGCTGTGAAGACGGTCCCGGGGAGTCTGGTCTGGTGCCAGGCAGATGTAGTCATCACAGGTTAGTGTTGCGTGTGTATTGACACTGAGGTGAGGTAAAATTGGGTTTAACGTCGCGTCCAAAATTATTGCACTTATATAGCGACGTGCATGTACGTGTGTGTGTTTGTGTGGCTGCTTGTACTAGTCCGGACTAATGTCGATTGATAGTGCTAGCCCACGGATATACCATGCCGCAGTTTAACATGAATACCACTCAGACACAGTATACTGACTGCGAGCCGACCAGTCCTTGTTTTAGACGCTTAATGCCGAGCGCCAGACAGGGTAACAACAAGTACAGCTTTTAACGTCTTTTGGTATGACGCGGCCGGGGATCGAACCCCGGACCTTCCGCTCTACCACTAGACCAAAGAGGCGGTCGTATTGATACTGAAGTGAGATATTACTGTACTTGTATACTGCCTCATCCCGCTTCCTTCCTGGTCAACCCATTATTCCGTCACCTGCACAGTACCCGTACCGCCACTGAGTGGTGATATTGCATGGTTTGTTTGTTTGTTTGTTTGTTTGTTTGATTGATTGATTGATTGATTGATTGAACACAACTTCAGTCATATCAGGTTTCAGATGATTACAAATTGGTAAAACCTACTTACACGGCCTTGGTGCTGACAAACCTTAACACATAAACAGGTCATAGTTTTCTGACAAGCGTTAGAAAACTAACTCTGCATAGATAATTGCGGTGTTTTAGACAACAGGGCCGCCTGTGCTCCTTTGAGGAGATAGACGTCGTATCAGAAGCAAGGCTATAAACATTGTGCACCATCGAGACACTGTACCGTGTACTACAATCGCATAACTTACCGACATTATCTGTAGAGCTGTATCTAATTGTCATACCATCTTCAGCAGCAGAAACCAGACAATTCTAAAGAAGTATCTTCCTCCTCATCATGGCTGTATGTTTACTCCTCGGAGAGCTGAGAATGCAGTTGGAATGCACACTTATCTGTGCCAAGGTCGTACTGTCAGGATATTCAGCATACATATCTCGTGTTGTGTACTTTTAAATAATTTATTATTAATCTATATGCCATTCTTAAAAACAGACCCATCGAAGATCGTGAGAGTGGGGGATGGGATGGAGATTCTGATGATGAACTCGTCCGATGCAGATGGAGTCTACAAGTGTGGTGTCATCAACTGTACGGAATCAGCAACGCTTGTTATGATAGGACAGGAAGGTAAAAATCATAAGCTCATGTCAATGTGTGCCGTAAGCCTAAAAAAAGAGCTAAACAAGACATCACTTAAGCGACAAACCCCTTTCCATAATCGTATAGTGAGTGAGTGAGTTGGGTTTAACGCCACTTTTAACAGTATTCCACTGTTATTGCGGCGTGTCAGCTTAATGTTGGAGGAAAGCCCCAAGTGATGCAGGTCTCAGACGTTTCCGACTTCGGTGAAACCCACGAGCACGACAAACCTAGAAACATAATTCGGGAAACGGGATTCGAACCCACAATCATAGGTTTCTGGCGTGTCCAAAGGACGTAACTCTGCACAGCGAACCGCGGCGCCTTAGACGACTGGGCCACCCGTGCCCCCTCAATAATCGTATACTAAGAAACATCTCCTAACAGCTAAGTACGTTGTACAATTGTGTTATGGTATCACGTGTTCGCCAAAGGTATCGTGTCCCATTGGTGGCACATGTCACCAGTAGATGCAATGGCAAGTCAAATGTTCACCTGAAAAACGCGGGAACATATGGGTGTAATAAAGGGAATTGCTTCGGACATCAATTCTGTCACTGATGCGTCATTTTTTTAAAATGTCTACCACAGGTCTACCATAGCAAAAGCTTTACTGAGGTCTTGCATGTTGTAACCCTGTAACAACTTTTAAGCAAGAGCCATATGCTGCTTTCTGACTCGTAGAAACTTGTGAAATGTTGACACCAAAGGCTGGGTCTGCTGGAATATTGCTGATCATAGGAAAGTTGAACTCACCCCTCTTGTCATACAGTCTTGGGTATCTTTATGCGAACAGTTAAATCACCCACCCTACAGCCCAGACTTAGCCCCCAGTGACTATATCCTGTTTCGGCAAATGAAATCTGCCCTACGTGGAAGACGCTTCCAGGATGACGAGGACATAAAGGCTGCCACAGAGGCGTGGTTAGAGGGCCAATCTGCGGATTTCTATAAAAGTGGTATTAAAAGCTTGAAGGACAAAATGAATAAGTGTATTGAGGTGAATGGAGATTATATTGAAAAATAAAAGTGCAAAAGACATTCTGCGACTAGAAGGCAATGACCATGTGACCACACTGAACGATATCAGATCATCGACATACCTGAAGCTTAAGTCAAACCTCTTGGCCAAATTCCCGTGTTTTGATTTACCAATCACTGTGGAATATGCATAAAGAAGCAAATCAGAAAGGGGGCAGCACAAACGGTTCACCTGCTTCTTGACGAAATGACCAAACCCGCAAATTCCACACATATGTTAAATCAAACATATGCGCAGGTGGTATACATTAACAAGGACGTAGGGCCCTCATTCGTTTCCCGATGTCAAAAGTTTATCTGAATGTACAACGACCGTGTTGTATTTGTTGACATCATATGACACCTACACGTACCTTTACAGCCTTACAGGAGGGAGAGCCTGAACCTGAATCAGGATTTGTTTATCCCACCCTGAGTCCAACACACGTTTCTCAAAAACTGACAGTTTGAACGCTGTGTTCTTATCGTCCCGCATCCCCTAATTGTGTTGTTCTTTTGATAGTGATTATTAAACACAGGCTCGTGATATAGTAGGAATCGTACAATCGACTTTCGGCAGAGATGTCTTTTGAATATGGAAAGGGTGTTGTCGCTTTTACTCATACAGAAAACAAGGAACTAAATCTACGTTTATATATTTATTGTTTAAGATGAGTTGAGTTGAATGCAGCTCTTAATATTATTTCAGTTATATCAAGGCATAGCAGACTAATGAGGAAGTAAAGTGCCGATTTTTGTTAGTGACAGGATATCAATTACTGTTTATTTATTATTATGCTTTGACACATCATATCAATGTGGTAATATCTGTACATTGAGACCATAAGAAAACAACCCACGAAGGGTGAATATGGTTTTACGCCGCTTTTAGCAATATTCCAGCAATATCACTGAGAACATCAGAAATAAGCTTCACACAATGTACCCATGTGGGGAATTGAACCCTGGTCTTCGACATGAAGAACGAATGCTTTAACCACAAGGCAACCCCACCGCCCCTAACCAACAAAGAGTTATTTCCATGTTCATTACAGCTCGCAATTTGTTATCAACATGTGTAGGTTAATGATGACACGTTGTTTTACTTCTTCCAGACAAGTTTTGCACAGGAACCACCGACACCAGAGGAACAGTGTGGCCTCTGACTGTCGGTAATACGACGATGGTGCTGCCGTGTCCTGGGAGATTTCTAGGTGGGTTTGGTACACGTTTAATGATTCAGTCATGTAGAGTACATTTAATTTATCTGAAGTGTCTGCAAGCCCTTTGTGGGGAATGGGACCCGGGTCATCAGGTATGTTAAGAATAAGTTTGAATACTGATTATCTTGTCTACAAAGTGCGTATTTTGAAAAAAATGGACATTATTGCTTGCATTGAAGATTGTTATAGATTTTAATTTATGGTTGACAGTCTCACATTGTGACAGTCAACCTTGTTGCAAATATCTAAGAGTACATTATATAAAAGAAATGATGAAACATACGCCGTATAGCCTTTGTGTCTCGGTTTCATCCGATCTCATATATGGCAAGGTAAACTACAAAGTATTCAGCATCATATGAACTACAACCTTGTTATCTTGTTATATGTAGTTAATAGTGTTACTCTTTCTGTATATTTTGGCCGCCTCCGTGGTCTAGTGGAAGAGCGTCCGCATGGAGAGCGGAAGGTCCGGGCTTCGACCCCCGGCCGCGTCATACCAAAAGATTTTAAAAGATGGTACTTGTTGTTATCCTGTCTGGCGCTCGGCATTAAGGGGCTAAAACAAGGACTGGTCGGCTCGGAGTCAGTATACTGTGTTTGAGAGGGGTATCCATGTTAAACTGCGGCATGGTATCTCAGTGGGCTAGCACTATAAATCGGCATCAGTCCGGACTAGTACAAGCAGCCACACAACCATACACATATTCAACCGTCGCTATATAAATGCAATAATCTTGGAAGCGACGTTTAACCCCATTTAATCTCACCTCACTTTCTGTTCATTGACATGTGCAATATAAACAGAACAACTCCTTTTCCAACGTATTTAATGTTGAAGGTAAAGTTCAACGTGTCTGTGACGTCACTGGGGAGTGGGGAGAACCAAACTACATAAACTGCACGAGAGAAGAGATAGCTCAGATAGAGGAAGAGGTTGGTAACGTCAGCAGACCGTGCTTGAGAGGCGGATAACGTTTCTGGAGATACTAAGTAGCTGACCTCTTCTTTGAAAAATACGGAGGAAATCGAACAATAGTAACACCGATCATTGACTGCAAACATGTAATCTCTATTGTTAGGAGAGGAAAATAAAGCAACAGTTTTTAACTTAATGCAATTTTATTCATTTCTTTATGGTTTTAGGCATACATGTCTTTATGCATTCCTGTATCTGTCTTTTTATGCATACTTTTATCCTTTTCTTTGATATTGTCTGTCTGTCTGTATGTATGTGTGTATTTCCGCTGTACAGGTGGCTGCAATCACCGAGGGAACTGTGTCCAGTGAGGCTGTCAAGAATGTGCTTGAGAACCTACAGAATGCCACCCAGAACAACGACTCCTCCGCAGGAGATCTGGACAAATCCATTGACATCGTGGACAAACTTGTCTCTGCAGTGAGCGGGTCAAACACCATTGTTATTGATATTACGGCTACACAGGTGACTTGACTCACAGAACGTCAGAATGTTTTGAAGTTGGACAAATATTCAATATTCCCAACTTATGTTTATTGATGTGCTAGCATTTCGGTAGAATATGTAAAGATATTGATATCATTTATATCACGTGTAACACAATGTATCCAACCAATAATTCTTGCTTCGAGGGTGAAATGTCATTCACTATCCACAACTGAATCTTAATTATTTATTTCCCAAGAAAGTTTGTATTTTGACCCCTATCCTCCCTAAAGTCTTTACGACTTATCAGTTCGATAACATTTATCGTGAAAAAATCCACCTACAGACACCCAGGTAGAACGATATATGGATCTTGATATGGAAGTGCGAGTTACCATCAATCTGAAGGTTTGGTAGACACTTCTGTATGTCACATTGGAACAGTGCCATAACTATGTCATGACGTATGTTGGTTCAGTGTTCACATACTACCATCTATCTGCCTTTACCTATAGGACTGCCTCCGTGGTCTCGTGGTAGGGCTTGTAGGTACTTGTTGTTACCCCGTCTGATGCTCGTCATTAAAGGGCTAAAAACAAGGACTGGTCGGCTCGGAGTCAGTTTGGAGTCTGAGTGGGGTATTCATGTTTGACAAGGTATCTCAGTGGGCTAGCACTATAAAATCCGGTCTAGTACATGTACACGCAGACACACACACACGTGCATGTACGTCACTATATAAGTGTAATAATCTTGAACGCGACGTAAACCCCATTTCACCTCACACCTATACCAAGAGAGAGATAGATTTCAGCGTACCACGAAACATCTGTAAAAAACACAAGTAGGTTAAAACAAACAAGGCACATAGATACACATATTTTACTTGTACATCGCAACTAGAACCATGTGTGTATATATTCTGTACAGCTCAAGTAGTTGACCTTTATTTGTAGACTTTCATCAACGTGATTGACAACATACTGTCTGTGAATACAAGTCAGCAAGCCTGGAAGCAGCTTCAGCTTTCTGTGAGTATAACTCCGTTTCTCAATGCGTAATTCCAACATAGCACCGGAGAGGTATGAGCAGATTCGAATAAGACTAGCAATGGTTACCAATGCTATATGTGCTGCATGTGTATTGCCAACCGTTTGAGCTCTCTAGTATTGAGGGTCTGCTTTTAACGTCGTCAAGAGTCATTCGGTCAATACTGATTCCAATGTAATTACCAATGTCCTGCTAAACACATCCCCATTCCATAGAATATTAAACTTTTGGAATGTGTTTTATTAAATAGCTTTGGAACCATTTTCCAGAAAAGGCGTTTATTAATGATTATGTTTTTCGTCATGTTTAAAAATATTTGTTTTTAATCAAGGATGAAAAAAAGGTGTCGTCACTGATGAAATCAGTCACATCCTTCGGCTTGGCGGCTGCTAAATCACAGGCAGTCAACACACCTTTGAGTGTCAATAGTTCAACTTTGGGTAAGCCAGGGAGAGTTACTGGACCCTATCAGTATAATTGTTTTAAGAATGTGTGACACGGTATTATAATGTCTTAAGGGAGCGCGTATAATTGTATTCCTGTCACATGGAATTTAACAAAAATAACAACTTAATAAGACAGTACACACATAGAGCTTTGGAAAATGTGTGATAGTATGGACATGTCAATGTCCAACATTAAGCATTCGGACCAGCTTGAGTTTTTCGGCGAGATTAAGTTTGTAAGAAAACCTAGATATTCGAACAATTCAAAATAAAAAGTTTTTACAGGAATAAAGGTATTCAAGGACAATCATTTGAAGTAACTGAAATCTTGTTCGATGCGTATTGATACCCCTAACGTTTATAACTGAATGATGTGTATTTTTTATAGTTTCATATATTTACTTACTGTTTTGCGATTCTTTTCAGTGATGGAGGTAGCGAACATCACAAAGCAGGATATTATCTTTCCCTTTGTGAACCTGGAGGAGATTGGGGACTCTCTCAGACTTCCCAAGGAGAACTTCCGCACCTCAGGTTAAATACATAGTAGGATGTCGTTAATTGATGACAAGATAAAACAAGAGTTTGCCACTAACGTGGCTTATCCCCCGTCCCTGTTGTAGAATTTATGACATAATTAAATCTAAACAAACCCTAACCTTTTTTTAACCGAGGTGGAACTTGTCATGGAAATTGTAAAAAATAAAAATGTCTAAAATTTCTAAATAGCAAAAGGCATCAGTTCAGCATGTTCCTGACAAACCTGCAAAGTTTCATGAAAAAATATTGAACGGTTTATGAATAATGCTCCGGAAACGAACCCTACCCCCACAGAACCTAAGTCCATCTTGTTGCCATGGAAACGTAAAAAAAATAAAATCTAAAATATCTAGATAGCAAAACGCACCAGTTGAGCATGTACTTGGCAGACCTGCAAAGTTTCATGAAAAAAATATTGACCGGTTTCTGAGTTATGCTCCGGAAACGAAACGTGAGCATACGGACGGACGGACGGACGGACGGACGGACGGAGCCCGTTTCTATATCCCCCGCCAACTTTGTTGGGCGGGGGATAATTAAACGGGCAGAGGGTGAATATCTCGTTTTATAAAGCCCTTTCACAAGTGTAGGGACCCGTGAAGATCCGGTTTGCAATATGTCTTCTGCAACCCATGCTTGCTGTAAAAGGCGACTATGCTTGTCGAAAGAGGCGACGAACGGGATCGGGTGGCCAGGCTCGCTGACTTGGTTGATGCGTGTAATCCCAATTGCGTAGATCGATGCCAATACTGCCATGATGTCAATCACCGGATTGTCTGGTCAAGACTCGGTTATTTACAAACCGCCGTCATATAGCTGGAATATTGCTGAATGCGGCGATAAGCAAGAAACAAACACATAAACAAGTGTAAGCAACTTTGGAGATATAAATTGCGAAGATATTTAGCGAAGGCGGTCGGGTCACAAATAAAAAAAACATTGTCCGAAATATGTCCGAAATTTACCTTGTTTCGTTCAGATGCTTTGTGGGATATCTTATTGCATTTTGTGACCACGTTACGAAACGTTATGACAGGCCAGGCAAAATCTGAACAAACATCACGTTCCATGGACTAGAGTGGGTTTCCTTTGATAAAAGACATTTACTTCAGCGGGTGGACTGATGAATTGCCGCGAAAGGCAATCACTGAAAAAGATGAAAAGTTATCTGTAGGCAATTGGCTTTTTGTCTATGTAGTTGTCACGCCACTGTCGAAAAAACAAGTTTTCCACTTATCACTGGCACCATGACGTAAAATATTGATGCGCAAATTCCAGGAAAGCTTACAATGTTTAAATACCGTCTGTGAGCGATGAAAATACTCATATTGATCATTGAATTTAAGATTGACGTTATATGATAAAGAAGTTATCACGCTTTGTTTGTTTTGGAATGTGAAATATCCTGTACTATCCTTAGCGAGCTACATACATAGCGGGTATTCCTAATACAGGATATTTACGACCCCAAAACACTCCCGCGTGATAACCTGTATTTATTTTGATATCGAAACTGTCTATCATTTGACGAAAACTCGCGGCGTATATTCTGACAATAAAATGACATAAAATCTTTTTAATTCACACCAGTTCCTCATCCGTGTATAGATACAACCGCTTTTCTGTTGAATCGCTGTCTTCTGCGAGTGAATGAAGCAACGGCATGGTTTCACCGAGGGCTCAGACCAGTGAGCGCTGGGATTGCATCAGTAATATTTCTCGTGTAACAAGTGCCTTACTTTCTGGTCTCTCTTTTAATACCAGGATGCCGCCTCCGTGGTCTTGTGGTAGAGCGTCCGCCCGGAGAGCGGAAGGTCCGGGGTTCGATCCCCGGCCGCGTCATACCAAAAGACGTTAAAAGATGATACTTGTTGTTACCCTGTCTGGCGCTCGACATTAAGGGGCTAAAACAAGGACTGGTCGGCTCGGAGTCAGTATACTGTGTCTGAGTGGGGTATTCATGTTAACTGCGGCATGGTATCTCAGTGAGCTAGCACTATAAATCGGCATCAGACCGGACTAGTACAAGTAGCCAAACACACACGTGCATGCACGTCGCTATATAAGTGCAATAATCTTGGACGCGACGTTAAACCCAATTTCACCTCCCCTTTAATACCAGGCACAAAATACATGCACTGAGTAGGGCCCACTTGACTTCCGGGAGTTAACACATGGCTCATTTCGTTACGTAATGGAGAAATCACTCAGATCTGTTCATTCCGGAAGTCAAGCGTGACGTCATCAAAATGGTGTCACATTCTTAAATTAGACACGCGTCGCTTATTATTCATAGCGGCCTTATCCTGGGGTGGTGGCGACAAGTACATGTAGCGTATACGAGTCCGTGACGTATTGATGATGGATTTTCTCGTGCCATCTTCAAAGTTAGCATCTGGTGTTGCACTGATTTGATTCCATTCAATTAATACACCTATTTCATTTATTTGACGTCATGGATGAAGACTGATTTTATTTGTCTTTCAGAAAAGATAACATACGTTGCAGCGTATTACAGAACAATGACAGAGTTCCTACCGCCCAATAACTCCAGGTTAGCAAAGATGGTATTTTGAGTACAAATATTGTAGTGTCTAACAGGCAGCTTCGCTATACTTCCAAGAGTCGGCAATGCTGTACACTGATCCTTTGTGTAACGCTATGAGGTGGTCTGGTGAAATGGCGTTTAACGTCGCTTTCAAGGTCATTTCACTTATATAGCTTCGTGCATGCACGTGTGTGTGTCGCTGCTTGTACTAGTCCGGACTAATGCCGGCTGTATAGAGCAAGCCCATTGAGATAGCATGCCGTAGTTTATCATGGATACCCCACTCGGAGATATTATACTTACTTCAAGCCAATCAGTCCTTGTTTTATCCCTTAATGCCGAGTACAAGGCAGGGTGACAACAAGTACCTTTTAACGTCTGTTGGTATGGCGGAGCCGGGGGTCGAACTACCGACCCTCCCCTCTCCGGGCAGGAAAGCTATGACCATGCTGTATGAATATGCATTATTATTCTTATCTTTCACATGTTCGGACACCAATAATCATAGTATTCATTAGGAATGTCCCGATGTTGTACCTCAAAATGAATTTACCTATTAAAACTTGGTCCTGAATATCATATATAAAGAAACAATTTCTGAAAACTGAATAGTTGTTTTTTAAAGATAAAAAAACCCGACACCCTTCAATAGTGGTCTTCGTTATGGAAATGGTTTTCATTCTGCGTCACATTTTATGGTCTGTTTTCAGCGGAGGCGTCGCCAACGACAAAAATGTCAATTCTCGTATACTGGCCCTTGCTGTTGAAATTGATGGCGACGACTTCTCGGATCTCAATATGAACGTATCCCTTAATTTCCACAGTATAGAGGTAATTGTGGTACGGCTTAACAAAGCCGCAGTTTTGCTGAGTGAGTGAGTGAGTGAGTGAGTGAGTGACATGGGTTTCAAGCCGTTTTGAATATATAGTATTTCTGCTTGACCATGGCGTGTTAGCTTACCGTGAGATGGAACCCCAAAGGTAAAGCACGCTACAGACGCTCACCACTATGATGGGACCAACGGTCACGAGTATGTGCTGTCAAATCAAGAACCATAGTCAGGGATAATTATGGATTCGAACTGCACAGCTGAAGTGCTTTAAACCTCTGGGCCACCGGTACGGGAGTTTTGTTTTAAGCATAGCGATATGACAGAATGTTGGATTTTTCTTACTGTGTGTGTTTCAAGACAGACAACTTAAATATTATATTTTACGCATTAGTATCCTCATCCTCAATGTGGGGCGGTCGGGTACCCTAGTGGTTAAAGCGTTCGCTCGTCACGCTGAAGACCCGGGTTCGATTCCCGACATGGGTACAATGTGTGAAGACCATTTCTGGTGTCCCCCGCCGTGATATTGCTGGAATATTGCTAAAAGCGGCGTAAAACCATACTCACTCACTCACTCATTCTCAATGTATAATACTATTTCAGACGAACTACTCAGAACCAGCCTGTGGATACTGGGATTTTGATAAAGGGTAAATATATTTTTTGTAACGTCTCGATACCTCCATGAGCGGGGGTTCAAAGACGATTCTCAGTACCCTATAATCGTCGTAAGAGCCGACTGATGATGATGATGGTGGTGGTTAGTATGCGTGACCTACGTGATTTTACGCCACCATGCTCCAAAAAACAGCATGTAGCGAGATGTAATCCACAAACTGTTTTGTGCTTTGACAAAAGACGACAATCGTTTAAATAGTAAGAAGTACACCTATCGATATTCGAACCCGTGTGCAGCCTATGGTTCTGTCATAATCGACTTTCTATGCTACACATGAGACTGCTGGGCATTAACAGAATAATTTGCATCCTGAAACGCGTTGACATTAATATGAACCAGTAGATTTCAGGTCTTCAGCAACCCATGCTTGTCGTAAAAGGCGTCTAACGGGATCCGGGGTTAGAATAGGTCTTACAATAGGTCTTCAACAACCCATGCTGGGGATAAGAGGCGACTATGCTGGTCATAAGAGGCGACTATGCTTGTCGTAAGAGGCGAGTACCGGAATCAGGTGGTCAGGCTCGTTGACTTGGTTTGATGTCATCGTATCCAATTGCGTAGATCGATGCTCATGATGTCTATCACATGATTGTCTGGTGCAGACTCGATAATTTACAGACCGCCGTCATATAGCTGAAATATTGCTGAGTGCGGCGTTAAGCAACAAACAAACAGTAGATTTCCCCACAGACACACAATTATTTTGTTTCAGTTCCTGGTTGACGGACGGATGCACAAGCACTGAAGTTAACGAGTCCTTCACAAGATGTGACTGCAACCACCTCACCAACTTCGCCATTCTGATGAGCCCAGGCAGGACTGTGGTACAAGCTTTTAATTAAGTTGTTATTCTCAGCCCTTAACAAAGTACAGCTGAGGTTCATGTGCTGTTCAGTTAATGGATTATGCTTCCATTGCACGCATGTAATCATGCATAGTTCATCAGCATTTAAACAGAAAAAATGAAACGTCAAACCCAGAGAATAATCAGTGTTGAAAATTATATGAATGGATCTCTGAAAGTCATTGATGACACCAGGTGTTCGCGAAAGGATCAGCACAATGAAATCCCGTTTGTCCGGGTTTACAATAGAGAAATAAAGGGACATTAGAATCAAGGGCGGGTCATTTGATTTCTAGGGGTGGGTTGGTGTTGTTTTTGTTTGTTTTCTATGGTAAACCCGGACAAGGTCTTAATTTTGTGTAAATAAAATACAGCCTCGTTCTGCTGAACAAAAAGCCTAAATAAAAGTCTCAACCGTAATATGGCCATCCTCATCAATACGGAGCATTTCGTGAGCAACGCCATAATCTTTGACACCGAGGCATGAGCATGATAGACAGTATGCTAGACAGTATGATAGACAATATGCTAGACTGTATGATAGACAGTATGCTAGAATGTATGATAGACATTATGCTAGACAGCATGATAGACAGTATGCTAGACTGAATTATAGACATTATGCTAGACTGTATGATAGACAGTATGCTAGACTGTATAATAGACAGTATGCTAGACAGTATGATAGACAATATGCTAGACTGTATGATAGACAGTATGCTAGAATGTATGATAGACATTATGCTAGACAGCATGATAGACAGTATGCTAGACTGTATTATAGACATTATGCTAGACTGTATGATAGACAGTATGCTAGACTGTATAATAGATAGTATGCTAGAATGTATGATAGACATTATGCTAGACAGCATGATAGACAGTATGCTAGATTGCATGATAGACAGTATGCTAGACTGTATGATAGATAGTATGCTAGAATGTATGATAGACAGTATGCTAGAATGTATGATAGACAGTATGCTAGAATGTATGATAGACATTATGATAGACAGCATGATAGAGATTATGCTAGACTGTATTATAGACATTATGCTAGACTGTATGATAGACATTATGCTAGACTGTATGATAGACAGTATGCTAGACAGCATGCTAGACTGTATGATAGACAGTACGCTAGACAGTATGCTAGACTGTATGATAGACAGTATGATAGACAGCATGATAGACAGTATGCTAGACTGTATGCTAGACAGTATAGTAGACTGTATGATAGACAGTATGACAGACAGCAAGATGGACAGTATGATAGTCAGCACGATATACAGTATGATAGACAGTATGTTAGGCTGTATGCTAGACAGTATGCTAGACTGTATGATAGACAGTATGCTAGACTGTATGCTAGACAGTATGCTAGACTGTATGATAGACAGTATGATAGACAGTATGCTAGACGGTATGATAAACAGTATGCTAGACTGTATGATAGACAGTATGCTAGACAGCATGATAGACAGTATGCTAGACTGTATGATTGAAAGTATTATAGACAGCATGGTAGACCTAATCATAGACAGCATGATAGACATTTAGATAGACGGCATGATAGACAGTATGATAGACAGTATGATAGACTGTATGATAGACCGTATGATAGACATCACGATAGACAGTATGATAAACAGCACGATAGACAGTATGATAGACAGTATGCTAGACTGTATGATAGACAACAGTATAGACAGTATGATAGAATGTATGACAGACAGTATGCTAGACTGTATGCAACATAGAAAATACATGAAACAAAATGTTAATACAGTTTGCACGCGGAGTTGCCTGTCGGTATAACGTACAAACAAGAAAGAGTTTCGGGACGATGTCACATAGCATAATATTATCAGGAATATGAACTTGGTGTTTATCTTTCCAGCCTGAGGAAGACCTGAACGTACTGAAGATTATCTCCATAGTAGGCTGTTCCCTGTCTATCCTGGGCTGTGTGGTGACAGTGCTGACACACGTGTGTTTGTGGAGGTAGGGGGCGCTGTGTTTACTTTACTGCCAGTGTATGAAACATCCATGCTATAAGTGATACTACACTGACAACTGATGATGCTTTCAGACAGGAGCTGTCACTATTCTGTTGTAATAAAAAGCAATATTGTAATTGTAATAATTGCAAGACAGGATATTTTAAGCATTTGGTATACAATTGTGACGAGGAATCTTGGAAGTTTATATATTATGTATCATTTTTGTTCTTTAAAAGATACTTAATCAGTATGATGCTAAGTTTGCTTGATGTACCAATGAGAGTGTAATAATGCTGAATGCGGCACTCACTCACTCACTCACTACGTGTACCCCGCCGAATATCAATATTTCAATAAACGGCATAAAACTACACTCACACACATATCATTTACTCTATGCAGCTATGTCCGTTCCTCCAAGTCCGTCATCCTGCTGAACCTTTGCGTGGCGTTGACCTGCGCCTACAGCGTCTTCCTGGCTGGCGTGGAGCGGACGGAGAACAAGGTGATGGAGATGCAGTATTAAAAAGTCTAACATGATACTGGCTTTGGAAAAATACCTGTCAGGGAATAGATATACATAACACTAAAACTATATTGTATTTTGCGAACCTTTTATGACCATTCAACACAATGATAGAAGTGCTTGTTCCAAGTGAATTCGATGTAGAAACAAAGGATGATTAGTTCATGTCTGTACCGTATAATATAATTCTTAAAATAGGTTGATACGTGTGCTTCACTACTTAAACGAACTTCCGACACTATGTATATCTCAGCGAGATTTAGTATGAGCCAAGGTCACACTATTTCCCCCGTCTCATTACAAGGAACGCCATATTAACATTTTTTTCAACGTATGGAATTTAAATGCTATTGATCACAATTACATGGTCATTAGTTTCCTTCCTTCTTGTTTCCAGGCCGTGTGTACAGCCGTGGCGGCCATGTTGCACTACTTCTTCCTGGCAGCCTTCTCCCTCATGTTTGCCCAGGGTGTAGACATCACCCTTCAGGTGGTGCATGTCTTCAGGGAGCCTTCCAAGCTGAAGATCGTGCTGCCTCTAGCCTGGGGTAAGCATGAACCACCAAGCCATGGATCTTTACAGTACATTTTCATTACAGTATACTGCTTGTCTGGACATCCCAAATGATACAAGGCGTTATCGTTCTGATATGTAGGCCAAGACGACATTTCGGCGGTGATTTATTCTAACCATAATGCGCCACCGTAATGTAGGCTAATCGTTATGCTTAATATATATAGAATATCATAAATTATAAAAAATCTCAAGGTATTTGAGTTGGCCACATAGTTTTTGAAACGGAAATACCATGTCGGTCGTGTATTCAGGAATATATTTATTTAATTGTCAAATCAGTTATACTATATGTTTATGTTATACAACTAAGACAAAATTGTTATGGATGAGCAACTTCTTTATTACAATTGGGCGACGTTTCGGTGTAGATTCTAACACCGTTATCAAGCAAATGATGTGACGGTGTTAGAATCTACACCGAAACGTCGCCCAATTGTAATAAAGAAGTTGCTCATCCATAACAATTTTGTCTTAGTTACCATTCCAACTTCTAAAGGCCACTCAAAGAAGTTATATGTTATATAACCTTCTCAACCTGCCCCAACAGGTGTGCCAGCAGTTATAGTGGGTATTACTCTGGGGGTCACCAGGCTGGAGGGATACGGAAATGACCAGTTGTGAGTTTGACACGTTATTATCATTACTGACAACTGTTAATAATACCAAACTATGACTTTGATGCACGAGTACTGAGTATTGACATTAATAAATAGAATAAGTCTGTGTCATCTATTCTTTTGTAAGGAAACCAACACGAATGTCTGCTTTGAGGATGACGTTACGGACGACAAACTATTTGTTTTATGTTAAATGATGTAATTTAGAAACAGTTGTCATTGGCAGTGTTGCTGTTTCAGCTGCTGGTTGACTGTGACAGACGGTGTGCTCTATGCCTTCGTTGGACCAGTTCTCTTTGTCGTACTTGTAAGGAACACTTCAAACATATAAACCAGAATGAGACAATCACAGCGTAAATACTTAGCTAGTTTTGATTTTCGTAAATACCTGAAATGCCAAAATGACTTAAGAATGATATGAAGCTATTATTATACTGGCCGATTATTCTGTACATAGATGACATGCATGCTAGAAGATTATCAATCCATCATATGTCACATCATCATCATAATCGTCATCGTCATCGTCATCACCACTATTATTATACAGATTAAATAAATAAATGCAGCAAAGAAGGTTTGGGTGATCCTGGCACAGTCAGGCTGGTTAGGCTCATTAACAGCTCAGGGCCCTTGCCCCCTCTACACGCAGCCCGACAGCGAATGGGACTTCTCACAGGAAGCGCTGCCTAGTATAAACCATCAAGACCATTGTGAAGAATGTGAAGACTCACCATCACTGCAGTCTTTTGCAGTACCCAGAAGGGCTGTATTCCAGGCAGCAAAAACGGATAATCTCCCAATGTCCCTCCTCCTCCTCCTCCTCCTCATCATCATCATCGTTATCTTCATCATCATCATCATCATCATGATTATTATTATTGTTGTTGTTGTCATTGTTACTTTATACAGGCTAACTCCGTGATAATCATAATCATCCTACGGGCGCTGTGTTCAACAAAGTTGATGGTTACTAAGAGAAGGAGAGAGAGGGCTACGTGAGTGACCATGTTTTAATCACTTCTGATTTAAGGTTCTTATGCTCGAAAGCGCCTTCCATAGTTTTACCTGATCTTGTTAACTGCAATCGTCTCCAATAAATATGGCATAAATAGAGGATATTTGTCGTGTTATATGAGTGGCGCACAACGGCTTTGTCAGTTCAACGCAATATTATTGCGGGAGTTGATTTATTATCGCTCCTATAGTCGCACATTTAGTGACCTAATACTGGGTTTTGTTCCACATTGTTGACATATCTTTTACAATACACCGAACAGCCCATCAGCCATGTTTGACCAAAGGGGGACAACTCTGTTATAGCGGCATCGCCATTTTCATGTATGATGCCTATGGAATGTGTGTTTTACGTCACTTCCTGTTATGAATTATGAACCTTTATGCAGATGAGTGAGTGAGTTAAACATATAAAGTCACATCGGCGATCTTTCAGACATATCGTGACTGTAAATTGTTATAAATTAATAATATATTTGGACTTTATAAAAACCTGTTAACAACATAACCAACAAAAGATGACCTCTGTCGGTTCAAAAGGGATCCTCCAAACAAGTTTGTCTGGTTGTTGTTTAACGCCGCAATGAGCAATATCCCAGTTATATGACGGTCTGTACATAATCGAGTCTGGATCAGACAATCCAGTGATCATGGCATCATTGGTATCAATCCACACAATTTGGATACGATGAGTTGCATCAACCAGGTCAGCGAGCCTGACCACCCGATCCCGTTAGTCGCCTCTTAGGACAAGCATAGTCGGCTTTTACAGCAAGCATGGGCTGCTGATTACCTATTCTAGTCGGATCTTCACGGGTTTCCAAAAAAGTAGGGTATTTTCTACCCGAGTACAAACATTCAATAACTTTTTATAAACAAGCCCCTTGAAGATCCTAACAAGTATAGGTCTTCAGCAACTAATGCTTGTCGTAAGAGGCGACTAACGGGATCGGGAGGTCGGGCTCACTGACTTGGTTGATGCATGTCATCGTATCCTATTTAATTATCTTGATCGATGCTTATGATGTCAATCTCTGGATTGTCAGGTCCAGACTCGATTACTGACAGACCACCGTCATATGACTGGAATATTGCTGAGTGCGGCGTGAAACAACAAACAAACAAATAAATCGTTTGAACACGTTATATAGGTTTGCTTACAAAAAATAGCCGTGACATTCCGCAGCGAGTCCTGTTTTCGTTCAAACGATGACACATTGTGCTTGTAACTAACTCCCTGAGTAATGGAGATTTCACGATTGTTACTAGTGGCGTTGTTATTTTGATCGCGAAAACAATATGTTGACATGGAATAGTCAAATAACAAGAACCATGACTTATTACTAGACACAGTATGACAATATATTTGCCAATTCCCCGATAACTAACTTTCGTTTCAAGGTATCAGGAGAGGTTTTGATTCTGGTTGCTGTAAGTAACGGTGAATATGTGCGATTGTCCAATCAGTGCCACATTGATTTCGCCGAAAGTAATGTAACCATTATCGAATGAATATTTTAATGAAACAGAATAAAAACAGCATGCCAGATAGATACAATGAACACTCTTTACAAACAAAATGGGTCATAAGAGGACTAATTTGTGTACTTCAGTACGGATATTTTCACAGCCAAAATATCCACTTCCCGACGGACAAAAATGCACAGCAAATTTGACATCCCCGAATTGAAAATTCATTTGCCCCGGTCGTTGGGCAATGGAATTTTTGAACCCCTATTGAACCGTTGTGGACAACATGCATGGCTACCCATATCACGTGACTAACTTTCATAAGATCCCGTTACCCCTCTTTCAGGACAACGGTTCGAAGCCTGTGTGTTCTGATGCCAGTTCTCGGTGTTGCGTGGGTGTGTGGTGTTCTGGCCATCAACAACTACACCGTTATCTTCCAGTATCTCTTTGCCAGCTTCAATTCCTTGCAGGTAGTGGCCATCGGTTCATAGGAACAATTTGAGATCTTTATACATATGTATTATGTTATACAAAACTCTCACAAAACTCTCACACACGGTATACAAGGTAAGTGACGATATTCTCGCAGTTCAAGACAAAAGTCCTTAATCCTTATAAAGTTCCGGCGGGACAATAAAGTGCCTTAAACATATGTCGAAACAATTGATGTCCAGTTACGTCAGGACGCGACAGTGCTGAAAGATGACAAATGTATGGTTTGGAATACTGTAAACGGCATGCTTTGGAGACACTAAATATGCAAAAAATGTAAACTTTAAAGATTTTACATCATATCCAAATGTCATATTCTCGCTTTCTCGAATTTTCAGAAAACGTGAAAAATACACGTGAATGCAAGATCGCGAGATCGAGAACGAAATACTTTCTCTCACTGTTTGCACACGATTGCTGATTTCCAGGTCGAAGTCATGAAAATGCGAGAAGACGAGAGTGTCTCTTTCAGTATTTCATAACAATATCAAACTTTGAAGGGTTTTTTCCATAGCGTTTTTCGCTATTCACATTGTTCGTTACTATCACATCACAGTCTGGGACGAGCCAATTGATAGTAAAACGCTAGTACACATTAAAACTTTAATAAGAGAATAGTTTTAAGGTTTCTGTTTCTAACATCACTTTACGATAAAAAAGAAAAAGATCATAATTAATTGAACCTGTGAGGACAAGTGTTCACGAACTGCCTTTGCAGTGAATATCTTTGAATATAGGGTTAACGTTTAAATGGTGAATGGAATGTTGACGTGCCTAATTCTGGCACCCTTTTAATGTTAAAAATAGTTATCCTAATAGTTAAAATGAATTTATTTTTCAGGGATTCCTGATTTTCATAATGCACTGCCTTTTCAACAGAGCGGTAAGTATAATTATTAAGAAGATTTCGAACATATATTTTTGGCATAATTACAGGCTTCTAACGTGAATCAGGTATATTTTTTACGTGGTATATTTTATTGGTGGCTAGTTTGAGTCATAGACCATGCTACTGGTTTGACCAAATTGATCTTGGATGGATATTCCTAGCGTTGCCATTCGCATCGTGTGTGTGTGTGTGTCATTCGAGTGTTTGTGTTTGTGTGTGCGTGCGTGCGTGCGTGCGTGCGTGCGTGCGTGCGTGCGTGCGTGCGAGCCTGTGTGTGTGTGTGTATGTAATAAATACCATCTTTTTTTGGTATGACGCGGCCAGGGATCGAACCCCCGACTTCTACTCTTCGGACAGACCCACTAGGCCACGGAGGCGGTGTCGGTGGCAAATGGGTTCAAAATTTATTATAATAGGATGTAGATGATAGAGTGGATAAACGGGGGTGTTTAAGCCCTTCATCCTCATTACGCCAACACGCCTTGATGTAACACAATACTATTCAACGTGGGGGTCAAACAACGCAGTTATTCTGGTAAGATGCTTAAGAGAATACGGAAATGTATTAAAGAAGTGACAAAGATGTGGGTATGATGTATGACGTACTTGTGTTTTTTCAGATAATCGACGGGGTGCGAAAGGCGAAAGCTCGCTACGAAACCAACAAAACAACATCAAAATCGCTACCTGATTCACGGAATAATTGGAAGGTAGGCCATGCAACTTAAAACAATTTCTAAATAGTTTTATTTTTGTGAACATTGTTGACCAATCGATACAGACTGGCACTCATATTTTGATTTTGTGTTTTCTCCAGTATGAAGAAAAACCGAAGAATCAAAAGGAAATGACAGGTAATTGGAATCACAGTTTTTCTCAAGAATTTGGGAACAGAATGTATGCTTTTTTCAAGCCATTCAAATACATGTCTATTGTTGTGATCTGATAAAAGATTGCCGCCTACGTGGTATAGTGGGGAGCGGAAGGTCCGGGTTCGATCCCAAGCCGAAACATACTAAAAGACGTTAAAAGATGGTCCTTATTACCCTTTCTGGCGCTCGGCATAAATGGGCTAAAACAGGGAATGGTCGGCTCGGAGTCAGTATACTGTATACACGTCGCTATATAAGCGCAATAATCTTGGACGCGACGTTAAGCCTAATTTCACCTCACTTTACCTGATAAAAACATTGTATTATGTATTGTGTATAAAATATCCAGTAACGCTTAAGCTATCAAATAGACACTCAGCTAAAACTGCCAACAAGTGAGTGAGTGAGTGATTACGGTTTTACGCCGCTTTTAGCACTATTCCAGCAATATCACGGCGGGGGACACCAGAAATGGGCTTCACACATTGTACCCATGTCGGGGATCGAACCCGGGTCTTCGGCGTGACGAGCGAACGCTTTAACCACTAGGCTAACCCACCGCCCCTACGGACATAAAGAGATGGATGGATTGGTAATCGTTCTCCAGTTACACAGTGACACCCCACTAAGCTAATCGAATATTTGTCTGGGAAATCCATAATTCGAGACAAGCGGAGTGCCAATATTACGAAATAGTGTCTATCAGGTTTCTCCGGGACAATAAAGTGATATCGCCTTAAACGCTATTTCGATATGATGTAGTTCGACGTAACGACGTTTTATTTTACTTCCGTTCGCTTATGATATGTCATCAGTATAGATGTTCAATGTTTGAATGTTTGCCAGAGATTCCTACCGACTACGACTCCGTCTCCGACTCCGACTCCTACTCCGACGACCAGTCTGACAAGGCGTCGGCACTGAGGTTGAAGAAGATGTCGCAAGACAACGACGCCTGGCAGAAAGCTGCATACAACAACAGGGCGTACCTGCCGCGCCCCCAGGTGCGACTGGAGGAGCAGATGATGCCGAGTCAGGTTTGTATTGTTTGTTTGTTGTTTGGCTCAGCAATAGTCCGGTTGAATGACCTGACCATCTTGTAAACAATATTGAGAGGAATGATTCACGCCAGGTTATTATGACACGCAAGTAACCGAGACGGACCACCCGATCCATTAGGTCGCCTCTTACGATCAGTTGCTGAAGACCTATTCTCATCGAGTCAGGCGGCACGTTTGGCCCAGTCGCCCAAGGTGCCGCAATTCGCTGTGCAGAGTTTCGTCCCTTGGGCACGCCAGAAACCTATGGTTATGTTGTCTACTCTCGTTGCGCCCCGATTATGCTTCGAGGTGTACATGTGTCAGCACCATACTCGTGCTCGTAGGTTTCAGCAAAGTGGTAAATGTCTGAGACAATTTCCGATATCCGCCACCCTGTCAAGGCTGGAATATTGCTAAAAACGGCATAAACTCAGCTCACACCATACATATGAAGTGACACCCTACATATTGATACACCGTTCTGTTCGAGTGACCGTTTTATCCGACTGTCACCGTGACACCGTTCCCTACCAGTGACCGTTTGACCTGACTGTCACAGTGACACCGTTCCCTACCAGTGACTGTTTGATATGACTGTCACAGTGACACCGTTCCCTACCAGTGACCTTTTGATCTTACTGTCATTGTGACACCGTTCCCTACCAGTGACCTTTTGATCTTACTGTCATTGTGACACCGTTCCCTATCAGTGACTGTTTGACCTGACTGATATTGTGACACCGTTCCCTACCAGTGACAGTTTGACCTGACTGTCATTGTGACACCGTTCCCTACCAGTGACCGTTTGATCTTACTGTCATTGTGACACCGTTCCCTTGTGACTGCCATTTCAATTTTCATATATTTCCAGGATTATTCAGAGAGTTCCGGGGACAACATCGAGGAATGTTTTCCAGACTATCCAGCAGAACAAACTTACAGAAATCCTGTTTTCATAGGCAACGATGACGACAACGAACCTGCCGTTTTGAAGATAGCCAGACCTTCGTATAAGACTCACTTATAGACAGATGGCCTTTACGGCGCTGCAAGTACACACACTACGTTGGGAGAATGACCCGATCATCGTTTAAGTCTTCTTTGATTATCGATGACCTGACATATGGTCAGGCTGGATGTCTCCTTTCAATGGAGCTTAAAAGTCACACTTCGGGTTATTGTTACAGGGTATTATTAAGGGATTATGTAAACATATAGTTTATAACGTATAATGTTGTTTAAAGTCGCCGTCGGTGCTATTCAAGCTATATCACGGCTTCTTGTAAGTGAGGTGAGGTGAGGTAAAATGGGGTTTAACGTCGCGTCCAAGATTATTGCACTTATATAGCGACGTGCATGTACGAGTGTGTGTTTGTGTGGCTGCTTGTACTAGTCCGGACTGATGCCGATTTATAGTGCTAGCTCACTGAGATACCATGCCGCAGTTTAACATGAATACCCCACTCAGACACAGTATACTGACTCCGAGCCGACCAGTCCTTGTTTTAGCCCCTCAATGCCGAGCGCCAGACAGGGTAACAACAAGTACCATATCTTAACGTCTTTTGGTATGACGCGGCCAGGGATCGAACCCCGGACCTTCCGCTCTCCATGCGGAAGCTCTACCACTAGACCACGGAGGCGGTCCCTTCTTGTAAGTAATCGAGTAGCGACTAGGCCATGGTGTACGGTGACTTGCAGCCAAGTCACAGAGCCAGACCACCCGATCCCCATTATAATCGGCTCATATACATGTACACTGCCGGGCAAAAGAAAGTACACACCCATGTTTGGTGTTGGCTAAAAATGAAACAAACAAGAAATGGTTATTCGATAGTGATGTATTTGATACGGGTATCATAGGTGATATTGGGCATTAAGTTTATGATGTTTCAGCGACTTTTTTTCAGCCCGTTAACGATTGTAATTTTGCGATCAAATCTAATTTTCTTGTGTACGCTTTCTTTTGCCCTGCAGTTTAGGATATCGGATAAATGTGTTTGTCTAAAATATCATTGTCATCAACAGATTGGTGTCTCAGTACAATGTATATTTTCTTAGATTTTATTTGTTTGTTTGTTGTTCAGCAATAATCCATGTATACTACGGCGGTCTGTAAATAATCGAGTCATGACAATCCAGTGATTGATATCACGAGCATCGATCCACGCAATTGGGATACGATGACATGCACAAACCAAGTCAGCGAGCCTGACCACCCGATCCCGTTAGTCGCCTCTTACGACAACCACAGTCGCCTTTTACGGCAACCATGGGTTGCTGAAGACCTATTCTAACCCGGATCTTTACGAGCCACATTTTCTCAGATAATGCACCTTTGTCAATAACCTTTGTGTACTTGATGATAGTGCTGATGGGAGCATGTATTTCAATCACGTTAAAACTGTTGATGACTTGTGACACATCTCGTGTTATCAAAACAAATGCTTGAAAAACGACTGCACATTATATGACTACATATACAACTGTAAGCCTAAAATGTTTATGTGTATTTATTTTTTGTGATATACATGACATAAAATCATTTGCTCAGTATGGTGGTGTTATCATTACAATGACCAGTGATGTAACATCCCCCAATCTATGCTAAGCTGGACCCTGCTCTTCACATGGTGTCCAAAAACCTATTCAAATCATAAATAATTTGAGGATTTTAAATGTCTTCCATTCAATATTGCCCAATAAGGAAAGGTACTTGTATAGTAACTGTAATTGAAAACAACGTATAATGTGCTTCAGTTGTCTCAAAATGGTCCTCTTTGAACTATGGATAATAATCATCGAAAAACAGAATATGCCATTTCATTTATCTTATCCATATTGCTCGTGATCTGTTGGATTATAACAATGTTCATCTGTCAAGAGAGTCAGTGGGACCTACAGTACATGTTTTGTGGTACAATGTCACTGACGTTGTTGGGATAAGAGTGGCACGAGGACATACACTTAATGTTCTGCGCCATGATATCGTAAGGTATGTTTGGGCTAAGGTTAGCTGTAGGACCTACAGTTAGTGTGTTGTGGTACAATGTCACTGACGTTGTTGGGATAAGAGTGGCACGAGGACATACACTTAATGTTCTGCGCCATGATATCGGTAGGTATGTTTGGGCTAAGGTTAGCAGTAGGACCTACAGTTAGTGTGTTGTGGTGTGCTCTCATGGGATAATGTGGCAATATGACGTACAGTTAATGCTTTCTATGGCATGATATCACTGACATGGTTGGACAAGAGTAGGGCCTACACTTATTATATAATAATGTATTAAATGATATTATTTAATAGAACCAACTTAGATTTGATAGTAATCTCCAGGTATCAATTTTGTCATACATAAAACAGGGACTGGTTCCTTTAAAATATGTACACTATCAAACATGGTTTTTGTATGAATCTTACGAGTGCATGTTTGATTCATCATACTATGCCATACGTTATACTACATACGCTATTTAGTCATGTCATCTCATGGTGCAGTAATCATTATCAGTGATCTTTCCAAGGTGGCAAACAAAGTTATGCATGGATCTAATATACTTACCAAAACAAATAAGGGAACACTGCAAACGAAAATATATGTTTTATAATGTATTTAACCGAGAAAATATTGTTTGTATCTGTAAACAGAAATAGCTGTGTCGCTCATGAAAAAACAGTTGTGTCAGGACACTCGATGAGATAATTTGAAAAACAAGCATCCTCGTTATGACGAACTCGGTTATCTGGATATAACGTCTAAAACAACGTAATATCCGTGCAGGACCTTCATCCTTCATATGGTCTTTCTGGAGCTTCCTCGTCTCAGATAACTTGACATATTATTCCGCTGGTCCCGATGACTTCGAATTAACCATACAGTAAACTACGCTTATAGCGAACTGAAAGGGGCCACTAATTTTAGTTCGTTATAACCGTAGTCCGTTTTAAAAGCATATATACAGCAGTTGGCCGGGACCAAATGATAAGTTCTTTATATCGGTCAGTTCGTTATAAGCGTGTTCGTTATAAACGTAGTTTACTGTAGTTCCGTGTACATGGATTTGTACTTACATGTGAACCCATTGTATGTTTGCTAGAACACATGTAGCTATAAAGAATGAATCGTAGTATTATCCTGTAGTCTTAGGTAAATCCTCACAGCATTATCTAAGGCTTTATGAGGTGTGGCAACAAGGTACTGTTAAACACTATTCAAATGATGTTGACACCACATGCCATAACAAACTAACTGTTGTAATATGAAAGAATCGGGTGTTTTTTTAGCCTTTTATGTGTTTTAATAAGAGTTTTGTGTTAATATAAAGCAATGTGCTGACAGGAAGGTGAGGAAAGTCGAATGTCTTTAGGGATTGATCATGGTTTTTGCCTTTGTATCATCTGCACAAGACATCTGTATAAGCCCAAGGGAAATAAACAGTGTCAAGCGTTAACTGCTTTTGTTCACCTGTTTTATATAGCCCGGTGTAGAGTGAGTGAGTGAGTGAGTGGGGTTTAACGCCGCTTTTAACAGTATTCCAGTTATATCGCGGCGTGTCAGCTTAATGTGGGAGGAAAGCCCGAAGTGATGCAGGTCTAAGACGTTTACCACTTCGGTGAAACCCACGAGCACGGGTATGGTGCTGACAAACCTAGAAACATAATCGGGGCGAACCGGGATTCGAACCCACAATCATAGATTTCTGGCGTGCCCAAGGGACGCAACTCTGCACAGCGAATCGCGGCGCCTTAGACGACTGGGCCACCCGTGCCCCCTAGCCCGGTGTAGAATTCGGGATAGCAGATATTAGTCCCCTGCAATATATACTTACAGAATAAGAATGTTCAGTGGATCGGATTGTCAGACTCCTGCACCTACAAGCTTGACTAGCCCGAGGCTAATGAACAGCATCTAACGGCATCTAACGTGTGCTCAAGGTCGCTGGCGTGGTGGATCGTATCCCTGATCATAATGTCAATCACTGGATTTTCTGGTCCAGACTCCATTCTTTACATACCGCCATCATATAGCTGGAATATTGCTGAATGCGGCGTTAAACAACAAACAAAAACAAAGCAAACGGATCCGTGCTCCTGATGTCAATTCCTCGATTGTCTGTTCCATCCGCGATTATTTACAGACCGTCGTCATATGGAATAATACCAAGTGCGGCGTTAAACAACGATTTAAACAAACAATTACCACGTGTTGTGTTTTACACTTAAACTATCTGCAGAGTTAATGTTTGTTTGTTTGTTTGTTTGTTTGTTTTTTGCTTAACGCGGCACTCAGCAATATTACAGCTATATGACGGTAGTCTGTAAAATATCGAGTCTGGACCAGAAAATCCAGTGATTGAAATCATGAGCATCGATTCACGCAATATGAATCGATGACATCAACCAAGTCAGCGGGCCTGACCACCCGATCCCGTTAGTCGCCTCTTACAACAAGCATAGTCGCCTTTTATGGCAAGCATAGGTTGCTGAAGACCTATTCTACCCCGGATCTTCACGGGTCGCAGAGTTAATAGCTCAAATTGGATAGTTGTACAACTGCAGGTCAAAGCGCGATTTTTGTTTAAATCAAAGGACAGTGTATACGCGCCGTTTTTGCCAACATGATTCACTGACTGATCAGTTCGCACAACTGCAAAGAAATAACAGAGTTGCAGTTAACGCTTTTTGTCTGGTATCATGTTTGTATGCTTCTCATGTGAACATATGTCACACTCAAAAAAAACATCTTCCTGGTCATCATATCAGTTTGCCAACGTTTCGACATCGGACAGTCGGCTTCCTGCAGCCACAACTGTTTGTTTGTCGTTTGACGCCGCACTACGCAGTATACGCTATCACAATATAGAAGGCGACTAACGGGATCGGGTGGTCAGGCTCGCTGACTTGGTTGAGGCATGTCATCGTATCCCAATTGCGTGGATCGATGCTCATGACATCAATCACTGGATTGTCTGGTCCAGACTCGATTATTTACAGACCACCGTCATATATCTGGAATATTGAGCGCGGCGTTAAACAACAAACCAACCAACCAATATATTCTGTAAATATAAGTTCTGTAAATAATCTGGACCAGATAATTCATTTGATTGGCGTCATTAGAATCGACGTACGCAATTATTCTGATACGATGACATGCATGAAGCAGGTCGGCTATCTTGACCACCGAATCCCTTTCGCCAAGGTGAGTTGATTAAGAGCAAGGTGCCGGGTGACCTTTTTTAGACAAATTTTCTTTTCAGTATAGTGATGTTTACCCAAGTATCAATCCATCCCTTCATCTTGTTGAAACACAGCTCATCCTGTCACGCAACCAATCTACATTATTTTTTACTGGTTGTTGTTTAACGCCACACTCAGCGCAGTATTCAAGCTACATGGTGTTGGTCTGTAGATCAATCTGGACCAGACAAACCAGTGATTTATATCATAGTGAGTGAGTATGGTTTTACGCCGCTTTTAGCAATATTCCAGCAATAATATAGCAACATTCCAAGCCATCGGTGTACGATGACATGCAATCACCGAAGTCACGGAGCCTGACCCCCGATCCAATAAGTACCCATCAAGGCCTATTCTGACCCAGAATCCAATGAAGGCCTATTCTGACCCAGAATCCATTGAAGGCCTATTCTGCAGAGAATCCCATCAAGGCCTATTCTGACCCAGAGTCCTATCAAAGCCTATTCTTACTCTGAATCCCATCAAGACCTACTTTGACCCAGAATCCAAACAATGCCTATTCTGACTCAGAATCCCATCAAGGCCCATTCTGACTCAGAATCCCATCAAGGCCGATCCAATAAGTACGCCGAGCATAGGTTGCCGGGGAACAATTCAAACTCCTCGTGGTGTCCCGATCTTGTTAACCCTGAGACAAGCACGAGGTACGGGAACCAAAACCAGCTACAGTTACATATACAATTTCACTTCAACAACATACAACATATCAAATTTTAAATGCTGTTGACAAACGTTTAACCCATCCCGTTTATCTTCTATCCACATTCATAGTTTTATGAAAAGGTCGGCATATTGCAGGTAAAACATGTCGAATACATATGTATCCATATCACGCCATGTGCCCATGTAGTTATCAGCCATAGTGTACCCATCTGTGTGTGTTATGAGATGGGGAATTATGTTTAACGCCGCTATTAGCACTATTCCAGCTAATTGCGGCCTGTAAGCACCAAGCCAGGACCAGGCAGTGCAGTTATTGAAAGCACGGAACACCGGTCCACATCATCACGGTATCAGTAAGTGCATTAAGCAAGTCACCCGATCCTTAATAGTCGGTTCTCACAAGCATGGGGCGCTGAAGACCTTTTCTGACTGTGAATCCCATCGAGGCCTATTCTGATCCAGAATCCCACCAAGGCCTATTCTGACCGAGAACCCCACCAAGGCCTATTCTCACCCAGAATCCCATCAAGGCCTATTCTGACCCTGAATCCAATGAAGGCCTATTCTGACAGAGAATCCCATCAGGCATATTCTGACTCAGAATCCCATCAAGGCCTATACTGACCCAGAATCCCATCAAATCCTATTCTGACCCAGAATCCCATCAAGGCCTATTCTGACCCAGAATCCAATGGAGGCCTATTCTGACCCAGAACCCCACGAAGGCCTATTCTGACTCAGAATACCACCAAAGCCTATTCTGACCCTGAATCCAATGAAGGCCTATTCTGACAGAGAATCCCATCAAGGCCTATTCTGACCCTGAATCCAATGGAGGCCTATTCTGACCTAGAATCCAACCAATGCCTATTCTGACTCAGAATCCGATCAGGCATATTCTGACTCAGAATCCCATCAAGGCCTATTCTGACCCAGAATCCCATCAAAGCCTATTCTGACCCAGAATCCCATCAAGGCCTATTCTTACTCTTAATCCCATCAAGACCTCTTTTGACCCAGAATCCAAACAATGCCTATTCTGACTCAGAATCCCATCAAGGTATATTCTGACCAAAAACCCCATCAAGGCCTCTTCTGACTCTGAATCCAATCAAGGCCTATTCTTACTCAGAACCCCATCCCGATCTAGATCCCAACAAGATACCGCCATGAATCGACTGCTTTAGTTACAAGCGACCACGACATGCCCGCAACAGGCTACAGAACGCCATGACACAAAGAGGTCAACATACATCATCCTGGTCGTGAAGAATTTGATATGCTGTGTTAGAATGAGGTTACAATGTTAATTAATAGAGCTGTTCCGGCAAGTGAGGCTATATCACTGACTGCATCATCGTCTTCCTGGTTTCATTCTGGGACTTCTAAAAGTGACGTCAAACTCCCTTCACTGCAGTTTCCGTCAGATAGCTGACTGAACGGGAGCAGGATTTCAGGCTTGAGTGTGACATACCACATTTACTTGCTGTCTTCGAAGATAATATGTAAGCAAAATTCCTTTTCGTTTCCATCATATCATTTTAATATTGTAAAATGTTCTAGGATTGATTTCTATTGCCATGTTCTGGTGAATCTGTCCGTTGATATAGATTTGTGCGCAATTTCCCGCGGGGAATCCGGGTTAGGAAACATCTCCAGCCACCCATGCCTGACGTACGAGGCGACTAAATGAATTGGGTGGACACGCTCGATGATTTAGGTGATTGCGCACGTGTCATCGTACCCCGACGGCATGGATCGGTGCTCATGCTATCAATCACTGGTTTATGTGGTCAAAACTCGATTTTTTACAGGTCTCATAATTGAAATAATCCTGAATGCAGCGTTAAAGAACAAAATGTATCCCCATTGTAATCAGCATTGTAATTATAGACGAGTACGGCCTCCGCCGTTTTGCTTTTTCCCGAGGTAAGGGAGTTAACTGACCATAAAGTCCAGTTTTCACCCTTGCCTAACTAGGCTGGAATCATGGAGTAACATTTTGCCTGGACTAATGTGTCTATGCTAAACGAAAGCGACATCCGGTTTCTAAATTTCCGTGCAGATTTCGGTCTATTGCAGGATTTCAAAAGAATGTGTAAGCCAATTCGGCATCAACAGAGTCTTTTCATGTTTTTAGTCAAGGTGCACACGTGATTTTATGCACCTCGCGAAATAAGACCCGTTTTATTACAATATGGATTTTGATTATCGATCAGGTAGTCTTCACTGGGCGCCGCCATTTTGTTTTTGAGAGGTGGAATCAGATTGGGCAAAGGAAGGACATAACTCGCAAGAGAGAGAGAGAGAGAGAGAGAGAGAGAGAAGAGAGAGAGAGAGCTTATACCTGAGTGTGTGTGTTTTTTAACAACAAACAACAGACACACATATCGTGATTTGCACACCTGGCACATCCACCCTCGATGTACTTCTGGAAAGTCTCTGTATTCGACCAACTGCTTCACATTTGTTACCTGAGCCATTCTTAACGCAGGTTAGAACACTGACAGTGTGGCCCAATGTGACCCGTTGGCGCTTCTGGCCTAATGTGACCCGTTGGCGCTGATGGCCCAAGGCGAACTGGTGGCTATGACGACCCAATATGGACCGAGGGCACTAGCTACCCACGGTTAATTAGTGGCTCTAGCTACCCACGGTTAATTAGTGGCTCTAGCTGCTAAAGGAGAACTGTCAATCTGTCTGACCAAGGTGAAACATAGGCTCTGGGTCCCCATGGTGGAGCGGTGGCTGTGGCGTCCGGATTTGAACGGGTGGCTCTGACCGTCCATCGTAAACCGTAAGCTCTGGGTTCCCATAGTGGAAAGGTGGCACTGACGGCCTAAGGTGAACAGGTGGCTCCGACCGTCCATCGTGAATCGTAGGCTCTGGGTTCCCATTGTGGAGCGGTAGCTCTGACTGACCTTGTGAGCCGTAAACACAAGCTTCCGAAAGTAAACTGGTGGCTCTGGTGGCTTAAGGTGAAAGGTGGCTCTGACCGTCCATGGTGAACCGTAGGCTCTGGTTTCCTATTGTGGAGCGGTAGCTCTGACTGACCTTGTGAGCCGTAAACACAAGCTGCCAAAGGTAAACTGGTGGCTCTGACGACCTAAGGTGAACAGGTGGCTCCGACCGTCCATCATGAACCGTAGGCTCTGGGTTCCCATGGTAGAGCGGTAGCTCTGACTAACCATGTGAGCCATAAACACAAGCTGTCGATGGTAAACTGGTGGCTCTGACGGCTTAAAGTGAATAGGTGGCTCTGACCGTCCATGGTGAACAATGGGATCTGGGTTCCCATGGTAGAGCGGTAGCTCTGACTGACCATGTGAGCCGTAAACACAAGCTGCCGAAGGTAAACCGGTGGCTCTGACCGTCAATCGTGAACCGTAGGCGCTGGGTCCCGGTGGTAGGGCGGTAGCTCTGACGGACCTTGTGAGCCGTAAACACAAGCTGCCGAAGGTAAACCGGTGGCTCTGACCGTCAATCGTGAACCGTAGGCGCTGGGTCCCGGTGGTAGAGCGGTAGCTCTGACTGACCTTGTGAGCCGTAAACACAAGCTGCCGAAGGTAAACCGGTGGCTCTGACCGTCAATCGTGAACCGTAGGCGCTGGGTCCCGGTGGTAGAGCGGTAGCTCTGACGGACCTTGTGAGCCGTAAACACAAGCTGCCGAAAGCAAACCGGTGGCTCTGACGGCCTAAGGTGAACAGGTGGCTCTGACAGTCTCTAGTTACGAGCGTCCGCCAAGATCGTTGGATTTGAACCAAACATCTCCGAAATCGGTTCCAGCTTGCAACACTCACTGCAATAACCATCCCTGGCCTCTGTTGAGTATCGGCACAGACTGTGCGTCGCCGTCCTAGACGTTACGGGATTGTTGCGAAGAGACGTGTTAATTGACAATTCGGTTCTTGCATTCTTCCCTTGTCATAACATCATTTCTGTCCTACACACATGTAATTAAATGTGTAAATTTGTTTTACTGGCCCACTGTCAGTTTAAAAATATGAATTATTTCAGAAGTGTTCGTCTACTTTGATCAGGTTCTTGTTTTATATCGTGAAACAGGAACTTTTGTTGTTGAGTATACATAGCTCAACCGCATTATAGTATGAGGATGTATAACTATGGAAAACAGAACAGCCTGATTTAGTCGTGTTTACATATTAGCTTACACCTGGGACAAACTTGTAACTTCTATATTTCCAAAATCCCACATACATGATGTTCAATAAGACGAACGAGAGAGAGAGAGAGAGAGAGAGAGAGAGAGAGAGAGAGAGAGAGAGAGAGAGAGAGAGAGAGAGAGAGAGAGATCGTCAATAAATGGATTAAAATGCAATATAAAATCTTTAAAAAATAACAATACATTTATGTTCTGACGATATTTCATTTGTTCGCCATTGGCATATCTCCGTTAGGTACGATAATTACCATCTTTCTTACAATCTGGGTCCCACATTGACCATGGTGTGATTTGTTTTACCCATCTTCCATTGAGGCATCTCCAATAATGGGATTTAGTGTGTACATATATAGTACCTTAGCAATGTGTACTTCAGAACTTTGAAGCATTATGTGAAATTTCGTGTGAGTGCCAGCATTCGCGATACACACTTCAAAAAAAGAAACGCACATGTAAATTTTTAGTAAATTCATTGTACCTATTCAAGTCGATATATTTAACTTAATATCATAGATACAAATATGAAATTTTGGAGCTCGACGGTCACATGTTGTCGTTGTACAAAGGCATTGAAAACTGTTCATTGTCATGTCACATAAGGCCACAAGGTTGCGCTGAACTCAGTATCTCGTGTGGTCGCCTCGGGCAGTAATCACGGATCTGCATCTTCTCGGCACTGACTGGATAAGTGTACGACTTCTGCGTCATTCTGCTTGTAACGCGTTGGCCAGTTGTGGGAGGGTATGCGGCGTGTTCTGACGTTGACGTCGATCGAGTTCATCCCGGAGGTGCTGGATTGGGTTCAGATCTGGAGAACAGCTCCATCTGGTCAATGATTGGAAGAAGGTGAGGTTGAAGAATTTGATTCTCGTGGCAATGGGCGTCAAATTTCTCTGATCCAAAAGCAAGTCAGTTCTCGTGTGGTAAGATATCCCCCCCCCCCCCCCCCCCCCCCCCCCACACACACACACACACTCCATGACACTACCGCCCCGACACAATGTGGGGCAAAAACGCTAATTTCGACGAAACACTCGTCTCCAGTTTCTCAAATTCCAAGGCTGTAAGGTATGGCACCAACGCACGCGTCGCTGTCGATGGATCTGTACGATAACTTGTCTTCTGGGTCGAAAATGGTTCCTGACAGTCTGGTCCGATATCCTCCTCAAACCAGGGACGCGTCCCACAGCCTATGTAGCTGTGGCATTGCAATGTCGTAGGTGGAACAGTCGATGTAGAGACCCTGTGCAGGGGCGGCAACTCTTGTTCGGCCGGTTCTCCGACGGTCTGCAGTGGAATTAAACTGTGTGTATCGGTCCAAAAGCGGCAAATGGTGCTGTGGTGGACGTTGAAGTGGCGTGCAACAGAAGACTGCGATTCCCCACTTTGGATACGTCCCATGGCGATGTTCGGATCGGCAGCGCTGAGTCTCGGCATTTTCGAACTTGAAAAATGTTGACAATCGAATGACAAATTATTGGCTTATGCTTGCCTTTTTTTGCCACTACCGAGAGTTACGAATGGTTTGGTCCATGACATTTCTGAACAAGTGTGGAAACAATACCGTTTAAGACATTGCAAATGCCAAATGCCAAATGCCAAATGCCAATGAAAGCTAGCTCATAATATCAACCACTAGTTTATATGTATTATTTTGTTTTTTACATGTACCTTGATAAACTCTGAATGGTGTTGGCTGTGGGACCGACATTCACTCACTGACTTGTATTTATTTCCAGGTTAGCTTGACATGTGTTTCCTTCACATGTACCTGGTGGCCGCCGCTGTGTGTTTTATTGGATCAGTTCACTCGTCTCGTAAGTTGTTTTACCTTAAACTTATATTTCCTCTTACCCACATTGGTATTCTGAGAGAGATTTGGTCTCTTTCAACTGATTCTTACAGTTTGAGGCGAGATGGCTCGGGATGCCAGGATCGGGCGATTTAATTGATTGAGTGAGTGTCTTTGAACCCCGACTTATAATCACACAAATATCTATTTTTAAGGTTTTGTCTGAATTTGACTACCATGCACTTTGTTTTTGAATAAAATACGTCAACGCCAGAGAATAATATTTCTCCATCATATGCCGATACTGATTCCATTTGGCGTAAGAGGTAAATACTCAGATTATCAGATGTTCGTAAAAGTGCCACAATGTCCTGCTCTATCGGTAGAACCCATAAAAATGTATGTAGTTGTTTGTTGCCTAATGCCGCAACTCGTAATACACCTGCCACACGATTATAATAAGCCCTTCACATCGGAGCACTCTTTACCAGAATGAGGCACGGGTGGCCCAGACGTCTAAGGCACCGCGATTCGCTGTGCAGAGTTGCGTCCCTTGGACACGCCAGTACCCTGTGGTTGTGGGTTCGAATCCCGGTTCGCCCCGATTATGTTTCTAGGTTTGTCAGCACCATACCCGTGCTCGTGGGTTTCACCGAAGTGGTAAACGTCTGAGACCTGCATCACTTCGGGCTTTCCTCCCACATTAAGCTGACACGCCGCAATATAACTGGAATACTGTTAAAAGCGGCGTTAACCCAACTCGCTCACTATGCTAGAAGGGCACCTCTGATGTCAAGCACTGGGGCGGAGTTTGGACTGTAGACCTTAAGGAAGGTCACTCTAATTTACGACATGCCAATGTACATGTAGTGTCTCACTGGGCCAGACTGCCTCCGTGGTCTAGTGGTAGAGCGTCCGCCCGGAGAGCGGAAGGTCCGGGGTTCGATCCCCGACCGCGTCATCCCAAAAGACGTTAAAAGTTACTTGTTGTTACCCTGTCTGGCGCTCGGCATGAAAGGGTTAAAAACAAGGACTGGTCGGCTCGACGTCAGTATACTGTGTCTGAGTGGAGTATTCATGTTAAACTGCGGCATGGTATCTCAGTGAGCTAGCACTATAAATCGGCATCAGTCCGGACTAGTACAAGCAGCCACACAAACACACACACGTACATGCACGTCGCTTTATAAGTGCAACAATCTTGGACGCGACGTTAAACCCAATTTCACCTCACCTCACCTCTCACTGGGCCACCAACACACTAAACATTTTATGAGCGCCCCATTTTGGACACTTTCTTTAATATGTTAAATGAATATAAAATACATGTTTCTATGATACATGCAATAATTTGCAAAACTGTATGTATGTACCGATCCAGTCAACTGACTCTAGCAAGTGTATCTGCTTTTATATTGTTTTTGGCCCTGCTATGTTTGATCTTGAGGAAAAAAAATCTTGCAAAGACAAACACAACGGGTTACCTAATCTTTCTCTGAATTGTTTGTTTAATTCTGTGAAGAAAAGCTAGCGGATCAGTGACTACTTCAATTAAAAAAACACCCCACCTTGCACCACTGAAAGGATTGTGGCAGTCAATTTCTCTTTTTTCAACAGTCTGATTTTTTTTCAAAGAATTGTCCGGAGCAATTTATATTTGTGGATAGAATCCAACTTTAACCTTGATAGAATATGTGACTTAAGAACACAACATGTGCCTGTGCAGATTCACACAATATTTACAGCACATTTTGCCTATGCTTGGCTGGCAAAGAAACAATAGATCCTCTTTAAATGATTGCCCTGTTCCACAGAAAGTCAGAGAAAGTTAATGTAAGTCTGTGTACATTCGAAGACCGAAGTGACATCATTGATAAGGCGCACTTTGTAAGCCAAATAACCCAAATGACAAATACTTTATACTGATAAAGTTCATCTGGTGTTGCAATAGCAGAAATCTTCTTTGCACGCTCATTAAGTGGAATCCGATAATGTCCCTTCAAAAGGTCAATTCTATCCACAAACTTTGCCCAACCAATTTTGTCAATACTGTCATAAATCAATGCCGTAGCCAGCCGGGGGGCAGGGAGGGCAGTCCCCCCCCCCCCCCCCCCCCCCCCCACACACACACACACACCCTTACCCTACATTTTTTTTATATAGAAAACAGTTTTATTTGAATCAAGTTCTCCCCCGGTACACAACATGGATAGGTGTTGTCAAGGTTCGGTGCCAGGAAGCACCGTGACTGCCACGTGGTTCTATGATATCGTTCTTCAACACGTGCATGACTTCTTTTTGAAGATGCTCCAACTTGGTTTATATTGTTTGATAGGCATTACTTAGAACTTGGCGGATGACAAGGTAGACACACTTTTATGGATAACAACTTCTGTAATACTGTAATACGATATAGATCCTTATACCGTCATCAAGCAAGACTGAATGAGAGAGAGAGATTTTAGTGATTTTACGACCGCTTCAGACGTAGGCTATTTCGCAGTCGGGGCCAGACGGGTTAAAAAATAAAATGAATAGTTGGGAATAACGAGTAATCGGCTTCCTCAAAAAAATTTAAATAAGGGGGTAAAGGTAGAAAAGAAAATAGTAAAGGGGGTTGAATGGGATAAGAGAGCTTAGTGGAAGGTGAGAACTGCAAGGAAACCTAGTGTAAGATAAGGGTAATGAGGGGATGGCACTACTAATAAAATTTAGATCAGTTAGGCTGATGTATATTTAGGAAATAAGTCGTAGTTTATTAAAAAGGAAAAGGGAATAACAGGGAAACCTACTCTAGTTAACGTTGGGCTTATGCGGGGAGGGGGGAGGGAGGCGCGTGGCGGGGTCGAATGGACGCTGTCTGCTGGTTAAATGAATATTCTATTTGGTAGGCTGGATATGGACGAATTTTTCGCGCGGACGTCGGAGAAGACAATCCGCGCTTGGAATTTCGATCCCGATCCTAAAGTGAAAGTTGCAGTTTTAATGGTTAGAGCTTTTGGCTGGTAATTTGTTGGGACTGATCTAAAGTTTGTTGATAAGGTTTGTTGTTTTTAGGAACTTGCCTAGATACTAGTACTTTGATATGTCGTTGGAGGGTTGCAGTAGTAGTGTTGTGTTGTTTTTGTATTGTGGGGGAAGGGAGTTGTATAATTCCGTCTGTTGTTGTTTGTATTGTGGGCAGTGGTTGAGTATGTGGTCTAGATTTTCTGGGATATGACAGCGAGTGCAGTTAGGGTGTGGGTGTCTGTTTTGATTGTATAGTTTTTCGTTTAAATTAAATTGGTCACTTAGCATTCTGTTTATGATTTTAGCCGAAAGAATAGACTTAGTGAAGTTGCGGCATTTAGTGACTGGTTTAATAAAAAGAGATTTTATCCATGTGGATTTACAATTTTGAATATTTATTTGGAATTTTTGGTTTTTTAATGCTTCTTCTGATAAGTGATATATATAGTTTCGACTTTGCTGGTGGTGAAATGTATGGATGGAGAGGGTTGTGTAGTTGCTAATTTGGCTGCTGTGTCTGCAAGTTGGTTTCCATGTATGCCGGTGTGGGCAAGTACCCATATTTGTGTTATTGTTTTGTTTGTTGCTGAAACGATGATGTGTATGTCAATAATGTTGTTTATGATGTCTTGGCACGATTTTGACTTTTTGTTCTGGATTTGGGTTATGGAGCCTAAAGAATCAGATATGATTAAGAATTTGTTGTCTTTTGATAGTTTGATATGGTGATATACATATTGGATGGTTAGGAGTTCTGCTGTAGTAGTATGTGTGAAGTTTGTATAGTGGACCTTAGTGGTGATTGGTAATGGTTGGGTGATTTGGATGCCTAGTCCTGTTGTTTGATTGAGAGTGACTGAGTGAGTGGGTTTAACGCCGCTTTTAACAGTATTCAAGTTATATCGCGGCGTGTCAGCTTAATGTGGGAGGAAAGCCCGAAGTGATGCAGGTCTCGGACGTTTACCACTTCGGTGAAAACCCAGAGCACGGGTATGGTGCTGACAAACCTAGAAACATAATCGGGGCGAACCGGGATTCGAACCCACAATCATAGATTTCTAGCGTTCCCAAGGGACGCAACTCTGCACAGCGAACCGCGGCGCCTCAGACGACTGGGTCACCCGTGCCCCCTGTTTGATTGAGAGGCATCAGTATAGATGTGTGTCTGATTTGGCCAGGTTTGTTGTATATAATTGTTGGTGATTGTTGTTTTATCTGTGTTTGTGATATCGGGTTGATTTGTGAATGTTTTGTGTAAAGTTAGATCTATTTCAGGTGGGGATTTGTCATTTATGTAAATGTGTGATGGTGGGGTGTGTTTGATGTTTTCAAGTTTGTGGGTTTTGATGAGTTTATGTAGTTGAGTTAGGTAGGGAGCTAAGTTGTGATTGTTTTTGAATTTTTTTAGTGTAGCAGGTCTAAGGTTTGTGTATGAATCTGTAATTTGTTTGAAGATTGGGTTGTGTTGGGCCCCAGCCAAGTAATTGAGTATGATTTGATTGCGTCTTAGCTGTATTGATGTGGTGCCGGATATGAGTTGAAGTGTGTTGACTGAGGTACCGCTTCTGGTCCCCAGGGTTATTTTGAGGGCTTTATATTGTATGGAATTTAGTTTTTAACTAGGTTTTCTGTGATGGAGTGGAGGACCGGAGCAGCATAGTCTATTTTAGGTAAAATGAGCGTTTTGTATATATTGAGTAATGTTTGTTTGTCGGCACCCCAATCAGAGCCGATGATGGCTCTCGTTAGAATTAAGTCTGACCAAGAGCTGACCAAGGGGGGCATGTCAGTTGTTGGTCAAAGGTGATTCCCGGGAATTTTGCTTCTATTTTCAATGTAATAATTTCATTGTTAAGGGTAGGTTTGGTGTGTAATTTGGCATATGTCTGTTTTTGAATAGTAAGCCGATGGTTTATTGTGTATTAATTTTGAATCCCCACTGGGATGCACAGTATTCTAGATCTCTTAATAGGGGTTGGATTCTTTTTTGTATTTCTTTTAGTGATGTTGACGACG